GTCTGTACATGTATTCAGCTGTCTTGAGCAACAAACAAATAAGCCTTTGAATTATACGTTTGTCAAATTTTTCCTGATCTTCTTCCATCATATTTTTTATTTTTAATGAAGAAACACTGTCCAACATTCTACTTAAGAATCTAATCAGGACCTTTTCCTTTATCATTCTGAACATATCTTGAGATCCTATATCCAGCTTTAGGTATTCATCTGTTGAAAGTGCTACATTGTTTGATGAATTACCTTCTTGTTTGGAGAGTTCTCCCACAGGTGTTTTACATGGAATTCCCTCCGCAGCGATCTCCTTCAAATTGTTAACATTGGTGTTTTTGAAATTGATAGTAGTATCAAAGACTTGGCCTGTCCAATCTACCATGAGATTTTGAAAGGAGGTTAATTTTTCATATTGGATTATCAAACTTTTGCTCCCCTGAGGGTATTTTAATTTGATTTCTTTCAGATATCTTTCAAGGGAGAGCTTCAATTCCTTGATCAAGGGAATGAAATCCTGATCTGTTGAAACTTCTGTATGTTCAAGTTGAGTTTGAATATTCAATAGAGTGATTCAATTCAATTGAATCTAGTCAGTCACTTCAGCATCACAGGCAGTACTTGCATTTCATGTTTTTGTTCTGGCTCACCAATCTTTGGCAATACTGTTACTTGCTTGTTGAACTGGGGAACAGTTGCAAGATACCTCTGTACCTTTTCTTCTGAAATTTTTACTATTCTGGAATCTAAAATTCCTGTCCCTAGGCCTCCAGGAAGGAGAATGGGAGAGACATCTGTGGTTAAAATTAAATCAAGGATCAGTGTTCATATTTCCAAATTGACATGTAAATTACTTAGATCAAGTTAAATCACCAGGAATAGACATGGATTTGATTCCTTGCAAGAGTTTCAAAGTTGAAAATCCTATTGACAGGAATTTCATTGAGTAAATTTGCATTTGAGAGTGAATATGATGGATATCAGAGAAGTTCAAAATGTGGTTTCAGGCAATGTGCACAGATGATGATTGTTTGCCAATGTTATACTTTTCAAATGGAATTATTTCATGGAAGCCATGGACAATGTGAAGAAATTACTGAACCAGAGATTGAGTGCTACAGGTGAGCTCAAAAAAATGTATAGATTTCTAAGACCAGTTGTGCTATTACTAAATATTAAACCACACCTCAGCAGCAGTATGTTTTTTTTTTTCTGTGTTTGAAATTCAAATCTGGCCATAATTGTGATGCATAGACCCCATAATATTTTAATTCAATTCAATGTGTACTGGGAAGACATGGATGCAACAGGCATCATCACCAGTGTCCCACTACCAATCCAAAAATTATTGAGTGTACAGTGGTGCATCCCCTGTTAGTGTTACTGTATGCAGTCCCAGAAAAGCTTTGGGTTTTTGAGGACTGTAGGTTACATATTTAAAAGGCCATACAGTCCCATATAATGTATGTATTGAAATCTGATAATTACTCATAATTATGGCTTCTTTCTACCAAATCTATGTACAGTCTCCTCCCAGATGTTTATAGCCATCTGTTTTGAGCTCCACACCGGGAACCCAAACATTTCAAGTCACAAGAATTTGTGGAATGGTGGAAAACGGGTCTCAAAGAATGAATATGAAAAAATAATAACAAAAAATAAGATTTTAAAATTTGTAAAAAGTAAAAAGGAGAAAATCACAAAAACTGACAGCCTCAATTTTTCTTTCAGGAAAAGATGAAATGTCCAAAGTGATAGTATGAGATCTGGAATGAATGATAAAAAGTGAAAATTTGGAAAAAAATGACTACTTGGTGGTTTAAAAAGGGTGCCTAGGGGGTCATTCATCAAGAAATGTGGCATTCTGGCACTGCAATCTACTGATTTTGACTGCAGGGTGTCCACCCACCATGCTGAAACTTTTTTTGGATCAATATTTTTCATTTATAATCATTCTTTTCATGTTCCAAACTTGCCCTCTGTGTGTTCACTTTTCACTCAAACAAAAAATTAAAGTTTTCAAAAAAAGTTGATTTTCTTTTATCTTTTTCACAAATTTTAAAATCTTATTTTTGATTATTATTTTTTCATATTCATTCTTTGAAACCCATTTTCCACCATTCCACAAACTTGTGTGACTTGAAGTTTTTGGGTTCCCTCTGTGGAGCTCAAAACAGATGGCTATAAACATCTGGGAGGAGACTGTACATAAATTACAATCTCAAGCCAAAAATGGTAATCTGACTGGGGTGTAATTATTGTCAACATAGAAATAGGAAGAATTAGACCATCTCACCAAACCCCAAACCCCAAACCCTCAATCTTCCCCAGCTCCTGCCCTTCCTGGGGTGTGTTTCCTTGCTTGTTTCCTGCCAATCATTTCATAACCTCAAGAACCATGTATTCCTGTTTCCCATTCTTGCTTCATCAAATTTTCCACCCCTCCCCAGAAGTAATAAAACCACTATTTTTCTCTAACAGGAAACTACAAGAAAAAGTCAAGCAACTGCAAGCTTTAGCTCCAATCAAACCTCAGTGCAAGCTGAGTTCATTTTGCTGAGGTAATTTGGTGTCAAAACCCTGAGACTTCAAAGGGGTGGGCCAGAACAAGGTACAGTGCCCTCCCAGATGTATATAGCCAACTTGTTTGGATTACACAACCCTAACCCACCTACTTGCAATCATGTGACTTGGGCAAGTGGTATAAAAGAGGCTTCAAAAAACACGACGAAAGGGGTTGTATCGGTTACAACCCCCCGCGATAAGGTCGCCCGGAGGCGACTGATATAAGATTGGTCTGATTGACCGATTTTATATCGGTCGTGCCCACCGATATATTAGAACAAAGGAAAAATGTATCGGTGGGCCTGGCCAATATAAAATCGGTCAAGGAGACCGATGTTATATCGGTTGCCTCGGGGCGACGTTATCGCGGGGGGGTTGTAACCAATACACCCCCTTTCGCCGTGAAATGATTTTGAAAACAAAAATTTGAAAACTGATTTTTAAAATTTGCAAAAAATATTACCATCATTGCACTTTTTTCAAAAGTCTCAAAATATTGCTCCAAATGACAAAATAAAAATTGGAACTTGGAGTATGGTATGCTGGAGAAATGATAATAAATGAAAATTGTGATAAAATAACTGCCAGATGGTTTTAAACTGGTGTGGAGGGAGACATTCATCAGTCTTGCAGTGGAAAAAACAGTAGAGGAGGCAGCGCTATCAAATTCAACTGGTGTTTTGAGCTGGATACTGAGGTCCAAATAATTTCTGGTGTTGATTTTTTTTTTTCATTTATTATCATTCTTCTTGCATACCATACCACTCTTTCCAATTTTTATTTTTTCATTTTGAGCAATATTAAGAAGACTTTTGAAAAGGGCCTTAATAAAAAAACCCGCATTTTCCGCGTTTTGACGCGCTTTTGCTGCGGCACAGCACACGCACATTCTGCTTTTAAACCCGCATTTTTAATTAATTTTTTTTTGCCATTAATTTCGAGTTTTTTTGATTTTTTAAAATTTTTTCCTACACTTGGAAGGGTGTAGAATTTTAAGAATTAATTCAGGAAACATGTCAAAGGCATTATTCAAGATATAGTTTTCATTTTGATGAAAATTAATTGTTACCATAATTTTATACATGTTTGAAAGTGTAGGAAACAAATTTAAAATGTCAAAAAATAATGAAAATTAAGCTCTTAAAAATCAATTGAAAAATATGACTAATTACAGTATCCAGAATGAACCGTTGAGTTTTATGGGAATCGAATTTTACCATTAAATTTTACACACTTTTAAATGTAGGGAACAACTTTAAAATTTCAAAAAAGCATAGAAAATAAGGTACACACATGTATGCAAACAATTAAGTGAAAAAGTGATGAATTAATTAAAAAAAACGTGTCAAATGCGGCATTCAAGGTATAGTTTTCATTTTGGGGAAAAATGGTTTCTACCATCATTTTCTACATGTCTTAAAGTGTGGGAAATAAATTTAAAATGTCAAAAAATGATGAGAATTAAGCTGTAAAAAATTAAGTGAAAAAATGGGTCTAATTTCAGTATTCAAAGTGGACTGTTGAGTTTTAAAAAAATTGGACTGCGCCATTAAATTCTGCGCACATTAAAACCTAGGAAATAAATTTAAAATTTCAAAAAAACATGAAAAATAAGGTAAAAACATGTGTGCATACAATTAATGGAAAAAATGAGTAGAAAAAAAATAATAATAATTAAAACTCATTTTTATGGAAAATGGTTTTCACCATTAAATTCTACGCGCTTTGAAACCTAGGAAACAATTTTAAAAATTCAAAAAAACTTGAAAAATAAGCCGTAAAAATTAATTAAAAAACCGCGTAAAACCGCGTCAAAACGCGGAAAAACCGCGTTTTTTTATTGAGGCCCTTTGAAAAAAGTGCAATAATTGTAATATTTTTTGAAAATTTTGAAAATTCGGTTTTTCATACTTTTGTTTTCAGAATCATTTTTTGAAACCTCTTTTAAAGCACTTGCTCAAGTCTCATGATTGCAAGTAGGTGGGTTAGGGTTGTGTAATCCAAACAAATTGGCTATATACATCTGGGAGGCACTGTACAAATGAAAGTGTGAGTTCAACTCAAGTTCAGTGCAGAGTATGGTCTGAGCTCTTGCATGTCAACTGACACCAGTTGCTTGACTTTTTCTTTTAGTGGGAGATATTGATAGACCAGAACGTGCCACCAATCTTCCCTCAACCTTGAGTTTACCATGAGAAAGGGCATATTGTCCTTGCAGGACCAACCATCCATTATATATCTTGGGATCAATCATTTGTGACATGTGTGTGAACATTTGAAAAGCTTCCTCCACTTCAGAGGCACATCACAGAGTAGGTAAGATAAAGCACTAGGTTTATCCATCAGTGATTTTTTTTTGTAAAACAGTTGGGGTGAAGCAATTAAAAAAAACACAGAACCAGAATCCAATTACTGATCTCAACCAATGGGAACACAAAATGGAAAGTCCCCAATGTGATTTGAACACATGACCTGCTGCTGTGCTGACTGCAGGCAGCCGCTCTAAACCACTGAGCTATGGAGACCAGGATGCATGGAAAGGCAGGGTTTGGCATCCACAATCCCACATGTTACACCATCTTTAGACATAAGCAATTGATACGTGTTTCAACTTTTTTTTTTTTGACTGACTCTTCTTGATTTGTTTTCAGACAATGTTCCATCATCTTCCATGTTGGATTGGTTTAATGTGAAAGTCCATTAGGTTTCTAAATCTTAATCCACAAGACTCAGGTTGTGGCTCAAATCCTTAAGGTTTTTGTTCAAACTCCACACACCTACATCCAAAGTGAAACTGAGACTCAGAGCAAAAGGAGAGAGAGAAAAGAAAGAAAGAAAATAAGACTTTGAGGATCAGATGTATAAGTAGAAAGAAGTTAAGAATCGAGAAAAGTTAAGAAACAAATGCAGCAGCTTATTGATACTGATTTGGGAAGAAATGGAAATAATAAGTTAAATCAATGAATGGGAAAATAAGAGGGATGAAATCATTTGGAAACACTAAAATCCATCCAAAATTGTTGTGTATGTACATATCAGTAAGGAATCCCGGTTGAGATGACATTGATATTTGAACGAAGTGGTTGGACTAGGACGCTAAGGCACCAGACTCCAACACCATGTACAACATAGTTTGCCAAATTCTCGAGATGATTTTCCTCAGGAATCGTTCAAGAACCCACAATGGAATCAACTACAGTGGCCACACTCACCCCAACAGTTTGCCAAATAACTGATATGGGCTAGAAGGTTTGTGGTGAGGAGTGCGGCAGAGACATGCGAACCACAAATAGTCCAAAGTTCACCAACCTGGATGAGAAGGATGCGACTTGAGCCAGGCTTGGTTTTGGATTGACGGCTGATCCGGGTCTAACATCGGACCATACTAGAGAGCAACTCCAGAAGACATATTTATGTATGACAAATATGATTGACATGTAACCAAGAAGCGGAATAAAACCAGGCAGATGTACGCAGAATAATGGATTATCAAATTACGGATGAGTCACAAACAAAAAGGATGTGTATTGCGTGACGGCTGAGAAGTGATAAATGATAGGAAGAAAACTACAAGACAGTTGTAGTGTGAAAACAATCAAAACCAACGAGAAGTTGGATGGAGGAAATGTCGATGTGGGAGGGGGAGGAGAGGAGTTCATCATGAGGAGAGGAACAACAGGTTTACTAGATGACGAAAGAAAAAGCAAAGAAGTTGGACGACCGGCATGACAATGGAAATGACAACGACAAAATCGAAGACAAAGATGAAAACCAAACGACCATAAGGCAGCTAGGTCTTTGAGAAAGGCACAAACAATAAAAAAAGACGATAACCGAGGGAGGGTCGGTGAAATCCCTATAGGATCATGGCCGTAGCAAGGAGAGCACAGCCAAAAAAGGTGACTGACGAAAGCACGACAGCAGCGGCGGCGGCACTGGTGGAGGCGTTGGTACCAGCAGACCCAGACGAAGACCCAGACGAGGACGATGATGACGAGGAAGACCTGCCGCCGGACGATCCGTTGGGGCCCTTATTTTGGGTCGGGGTGGATGAGTTCGGGGAGTTGGACACGGAGGCCATTTGAGGAAGGTCAGGCCATAGGGCCTTGGTGTCAGTGAACGTCTGGCAGTTTGAAACAGCTGGGATGGCAGCCTTGTAGGGGATCGAGCTGTGGAGTAACGGAAATTTTTAAGCCACCTCACTTCTTTCGGATCTCATGCTGCTCCGCAAGTGACTTACGTGATCGGGCCAGCTGACTCCGGGGGCTGTGTGTAAGTCTTGGTGACTCCGTTTTCGACATAGGTGCCGGCAGGCAATTGGTTTTCACCTTGACACGATGTGAAGGTTCCGTTGATCGTCTCGTAGTGAGCAGGCGCGTTGTATGTGCAACCAATTCGGTCGTAAATGTCTACAGAGGCGAACGGGGTAAGTTGCAATGCGTGAGGTTTGCTGGATCACAAGAAAAGGGTGTTTCTTACGTTGGCAGAGTTGAGCAGCGTTGGGGCCAGCAGGGTCACAAGCTTTGTAACAAAATACACCCGAGCCGATGAAGTAGCTCCATTCGATGACTTGGGTATAAGCAGGACCTCCAGGGGTGTTGAAGGCGCTCGAGTACATCAATGCGCCCAATGGGTTTCCTCGTTGATCGGCTCCGTGGGGGTCTTCCTCTCCTCCGGTGTCATTGGCTTGGATGTTGAGTGCGGTCTGTTGAATAAATCCAACGGCTTGGATATATCCAGGTGTTCGGGTTCTGTGATGTGCGACCGTCGATCAGCAGAGCTTTCCAAGCAAATTGAAAAGGTTGTTGGACTGACACTTGGAGACCGGTGATGGCTCCTGCAGGGATTAGCCTGGTACCAAATTTCTTGGTGGTGCAGTAGGCCACCATTTCCCCTTCGATGTTTCCAACGATCGATTCTGGCTTGGAGGCGCCCCATAGACAGAACTGTAATTATCGCAAAATCAAGAAAGATAAGCAAATAAATTGGGGTGGCTAAAGGCAAAGTGTGAGAAAACATATCTTGAATAGAGTTGATGAAGGTGGTTTGGCACATCGAGTCTTGGTTCTGGGTGGTTGCATTACACCTGTTGTAACCTGATTGGGGGAACGGGGGGGAACAAGGGTAGAGTCAGCATGTTATGCTCAAAGTTTAGACACATAATTCATCACGAATAGCAAAGAAAGTTGATTGGCAGGAAGCGATGGCTAATTCAAGGTTGATGGTAAGCTCGTGGGGAAGTTGAGTAAATGGGACAAGCAAGTGGCATGCAAGAACAACAGCCTTCGCGGGTGTTTTGCAGATCCCATGATGATCGATAATGGAAGATGACAGGCGGTGAAACTGGAGGAAGGCAAACGAGACGAGACCCAGACAAACCTTGTTGCTGGCCACGTGGTCCATTTCCAGTATCAGCCTGGTATGGCAAGTTGGGCCAGGTAAATCGTTTCTGGTAGAGGGGGACATCGCCAGAGGTTGAGCTCTGTCCCTCACCCCCTGCTGGGGCTGCGGCCGGGGCAGAGTTGCTGTTCGAGGGTTGAGTCGGCTGCGATTGAGCGAGCGATTGACCGGCGGCACAGAAAAGAGTGACGAGGAGGAGTTTATGAACGGAAATCATGTTGGATGAGTTGGTGATACGTAATCTGCTGAGATATTAACGTGTGATGTCTGTCGTTTGGAATGAGCACGCTAACTTGAAGGGGTTACTGGATGATGAGATCGAGGAGGTTGACAGTTGGGCAAAGGAGATTCAGATGGACAAAGGGAGGAGTTCAACATTATTCAGCTTTAGAACCACAGATTATACACGACTAGCTTGAGAGCTCAAATGAAAGGGGACAGAGTCGGGAGTTAGGACAGCGAATGGATAAATCCGGTGAGCGGTGAAACCAAGAGGCTGGTTGAAACATGGACACCATCCTGACAATCGAGCGTCGGTTGAGGGTCGAGGATGTAACAATGGCGGTAGGCAGCACCATATTCATGGACAAGGAAAGAGTGAGGCGATGCAGACTCCAGGGGACCGCAAGAGGAGTGGATGGATAGGAAGGGTGTTCCTTGTAGAAGGATGAGTAGCACAGGAAACTTACGAGATTTCAAGCCCAGGTGAGCGTATAAGGGAATAAACTTAACAAAAGATGGGGTGGAAATTTGGGCTCTTTGTTGGCAACAAAGAACAAATATATAGGGGGGAGGGATATGGGGGACTCGATAGCCTGGATAAAAGTTGACCAGAGAAATACGATCACCGTAGCGGGTCAGTGCTGAGCTGAGACTAGTGGGGAAGGTCAATGAGCACTGGGTTTGGACTGTACTCGAAGAAAACAGCAATAGCGTGGTATGTAGGACTTGAAAGAGGTATTAAGTATTTATGTAAGAAGAAAAAAAGAGAAGACGGCGCAAGAGGGGGGGGGGCGATGTACAGTAGGAAAGGAACGACCACCGACGCCTTGAATCTGGCACCTGGCACCTATAGATGGAATGAATCAACAAGACTACAACAACCTAACTACCCAGTATAATCGCGCCCTGTCACGACGCCGTAAAGCGGGATTGGGTAGATTTTCTAAGAAAAAAAAGGAGACGGAAAAAAAAGATGATGATGATGATGATGTAGGTTTGTGGTTATACTGAGCTTACAGACTAAAAAAAAGGCCCAGGCTCGTATCTGAGAGGGTTGGTTGGATTATTAACTGCACTCGAAATGTGCAATAAATAAGCTGTCGATCAAGCTGGTCGGGGTCGGCAGAGGGGTGGGGAATGGATACTGTTCAGGGAAGATGGGGTTGCAGAGGTGTGCGGTGCCTGTATGTAGTTGTTTTTTTTCCTCCCTCCCTATTCAGAGTACTACTACTAGTTATTATGTTACTGCTTGTGTCTGTGTATATTATGAATACAGATTGGGTTTAGAGACTCCAAGAGGCTAATTGATTTTGGAGTAGGTTGGTTGGTTGTAGAATGTAGGAGGGCCTAGGACAATCCGGTGGAAGGGACGAATTGGGAAGATGGCACGGAGCAGAGCGGTTGGGTCAGCTGAGAGGCAGGAGTGTAAGCACAGGATGAGAGTCGGAAGGCTACTTTTGCTGGAGATTTATAGGATCTCTCGATCGGCTCACTGGCTGTGATGTAAGTAAGTTCTTGCTTGGTTTGTTCTTGTTGGTGACCCGGTGGTGGGTGTGAGTGGACGGGGTGGGTTGAGGGATCTACTGGGAGTCGTGAAGGGATTCGGTGGATGGTGTATGAGTGTTGAGAGTGGACAATTTACTGATGATAGTCACTTGAGCCTACACAACTTGAACAATAGATAGATTGAGTTTTGTTTTTCAGGCCGCTGGCTTGTTGACTGTGTGAATGATTGGGTTCTCTCTCTCTTCCCCTGCAAGAGAGGAGTCGTCGAATCGGTAACAGCGATTCGGTGGGGATGTGTACAGCATAGAACTCGGTCGTCTAATATTTTCTGGTCGATTTCGGCTGGTTGAACATCGGCTTACAGTGCTCTTGTAGTCGGTTGTTGAATTTGTTTGTGATTTGGTTGGCTCAATCTTCCAGCAGCATAGAAGAGTGCTTGTGAAATCGAGTGATAATAAGACTTGTTATGATGATCGAAAGGAAGAGCTGCTGTACAGGTATATCGGTTTCGATCAAGGCTGTGTCGAGATAACCTCGGCAAGCATATAAGCACGGCCGAAGAACTCCAGGCAGAGACCGAGAGAGAGAGAGAGATCAAAGAGGGGAACAAACGGAGAAGCTTTGAGGAAATATGCCAATTATGGTAACTTGATCACTGGTCCCTTCGAGGGGACTGCTGCTCAGGGTGGGCTCTTGAGTCCCGACCTTATACGAGCAGCCGAGCGGCAAAACCCACACAAGGATGAAATACCAGCTGAACGGAAAATGATAAATGAATATGTAAATACCACCTTCGCCGTGGGTGTCAAGATCTATGATACTATCGAGCCAACACGCTGTCTTTGGGTTCTAACTTCTCTGACGATATTGAGCTAAGGCTGAGGAGGGGGGGCTATCATCATGACTTTGTACTCCAAGAAACACTTATAATCAGGGGCATCATCGTGGGTCTGCGAGCAATCAGTGCACTGAGAATGAGATCCAGTCATCATCAAGTCAACCCCTCCGTCTTCCAGGCTCCAGCAGTCTGTCAGACCGGCCCTTTTTTTGTCTATTCTCTGTCTGTCTGTCTCTCTCTTTCTGCCTGTGTCCGTCTTTACATTTCTCCTCCTCCAGATACCCTTGTAAACAAGCTCTCGCTCTCTCTCTTTCTTTCCAGGACCTTGATTGCTTCAGACTGGCCGTCGAAGAGACCCGAAGATCTAACTCGGGCAATTTCTTACACAACAAAAATTTGCAAGCTCATGTCGCCAAGCAGTCAAACGCTGTATCCTTCGGACCGGACCCTCTCGACGCGTCCTGCCGTCGCCAACTCTCGAGTTCCGTGGAGAGAGAGGACCTTATAATCGAACTTGATCAATGGCCTTCACAAACTTTTTCTGGGCTCGGCCTGGCTGGCTCGCCTTCGATATTTAACGTTTCCTGGCATATTCCGGAAGACCCGCTAGATTGTAGTCGATCGTCGGAATCCACACTGTCAGAGGCTAGAGCTGGATCATTCAACACTCGAGGTTGATAGTACTTCTTTGCCATTGGAAGAAAAGAGTTTAGTCGCTTCCATGAGTTTCTAAAATATTTTCTCAAGTGCTCGATGATCCGGCCTCTGTAGAGCAAATCCAAACAGATAGATAATCTTTTTGTCTAATTTTGTACCACATCTTTCCAGCCTCCAGGAAGCCATCGGCATTTGGGCCGGTCAATCCGAACCCTCTCCTGGGAAACTGTGGGTGTCTATAGCTTGCGGATGAATGATGCCATGGTGTTGGTCCAGGCCCAGTTTCTACATACATGGGGGCTTTCGAAGCTTCAAAAGGAAGAAAGTTATGGGGTCGAGCCGGTCGATCAACAGAGCCCAGCAGGGCCATCATGGAGCGGACTCGCGAGATGGGCATCCCGCATCGAGGGTTTTGAGATCTCAGCTTAGCCACCGACAAAAGGGTGGAGTCGGCTTCAAAGAACCAAGGGGTTTCGTTTTCGTTTGAATCGTCAAGCTTGAAGCTTGAAACACAGGCATGGAATCTTAGATGCGATCGAAGTGACCGAGCTCAGAAGCTCTTTCCGATCACCGAATTACGCGATCATCATCGACGGGCGGTCTTGGTTCCCGCTCGCTCGCGACTCACCGGTTGATCATGTTTCGAGGGCGAAGGAAGATATGTGATTACACGCCTCTGTGGTCAACAGGGGGGGGGATCACTTGTTTCCGTGGTCAATATAGAACTGGGGGAAAAGCTTTGCTCGCTGCCCACTTCGCCTGGGCATCACCGCGGTCCAATAGCGCTTGGTTCTGATGAGGATTACAGAGCCCCATCTATCACTCCTGGAAGACTGACGAGTGACTGACGAGTTCCATGGCGAATCTACATACGGAGGCGATGTGAGCTCCTGATCGGCTACTCACGTTGTCCGCCCACTTCACCAGTCTTCTTCAGTCGTGCTACAAAACACATGGATGTGTCGATATACCGACATTTTCCAATCACCTTTGAGATCGCTTGATCACGATCAAGTTGAATCTTCGCGTTGAATCTTCGCCGATATGTGGATGATGTCACTTCCAAATTCAAATCCAGTCCTTTATAGACCAACATTGTCATATTGAATATGTATCCAATCCACATTACCACAATTTGCAAGAGTTTGTAGAAGCTCAATGCTGGCTTGACTCGACTTCAACCAGGGCTCCTCATCAAACCTGAACTCCTGTCAACCCAGATCCATAAAAGAGCTTGAAGACCGGCCAATGAGTATGCGTCATACAAGATAATCTAGTCTTGATTGACAATGACCTGCACAAGAGAAGACAAGATCAATCAATCACATAGGCTTTTTTTTGACTGAAAGGTAATCATGGAAAGTGAGATAGGTAAAAAAAATGGAGGTGTTGGTGAGGGGAAGGGAAGAAACCAATAAGGTATGGTGTTTACAGAGTGTTGGGCTTCAGGTTTCCAATCACACTGGGATCAAAGGGGCATTTTTCAGGGACAATCTTTTCCAGCAAGTCCAAAATTCAAATCACAGAGCCTTAAGCCTGGTGGAGGGATAGGAAGAAGCAAAAAAAAATCAAAGTTTTCTCTCTACCACACCAGCAAACCATCCATGATGATTGGTTTTGAAATTTTGCAAAACTTGGTTGGAGATACTGCAACATTTGCTTGAGAAGAACCCCACAGATACGATACACTGTGTGTATCATGGAGAATTCTGCAAAGCTGCATGGCCAAAAACCAAATTTGTTGAATCTCCTTGCAAATAAAAGCAGATTGGTCAGATAGTTTTTTTTTATTGGGGCTCAGATACATAGTGATACATGGCAGATACGGGCAGATACCATATCTGTGGCAGCGTTGGAAGAACCTTCAAAAAATCTACCAAATGATGCTGGCTTTTCAGGCTGTTGATCTGATTTGATTCACATGAAAACTGGATTTGTGTTTGATAAAAATCCGAAGTCTTTTTGAAAATTTTTGCTAGGTTTTTTTTCCAAAACCTAGAAAAAATTCTAAATCTTTGTTGGAATATGCTTGTATCCCATATGTAGCATGCTTCTACCATAACACAGCAACCGTGTATTTAGTCTATACTTGGATGCTTCTGGAGTTTCCCTCTTAGTGAATCAGAACCCATTTTTTCTCACTCAGAAGTGTCACAAGACTTTCAGTCTGTGTACCAGAGAGTGGATGACTTCCTGTTGGCATTTACAACCCTCACAGAATTTGATTTACACCACTGGAGGACTTCCCGTTGAATCTGGGACCCTCACAGTTTTTGATTTAGACCCAAAAAGTCTACATTTTTGCAGGGAAATCTAGCTTTTTCGGCTCTAAATCAAAACTGGGATCCCCGCAGATGTTGACAGGAAGTCATCCACTAAGGTGTTAATTTTGAGCATGAAAATATATTTCTTCAGAAGCCTTGTAGTGAAGGCCCTCATGTGAGCTAGGCCTGGTTTTGATTAGAGTCTTAATTTAGGACTGAGAGGGGTCTTGAAATCCCATTGTGATCCCTCTGTGAAAGCCGCATTCTCTTCCATCTCATTTCATGAAATACCATTCATTACCAACAAACCCAATCTCAAACCTAACCCATAACTCAATCTTGCTCCTCCTCAAACCTAAATACTTCAGTATTTAAGCGGCTCACTTGCCATTTTTCACTTGTTGTAACTTGCTCCTTTTTCTTCTTAAAATCTCTATCTTCTGCTGTGGTAACTTTGTTTATCTTCTAATCATTGTTAACTTCTTAATAAGTCTCACATATATTGTTCTAAAAATCTTGTCTTCCTTATTTTGGTTTTTGATCTCAGCAACAAAAGTCATCAAGTTTTCTCAAAAAACACTCTAAATTGCAACAGGATGTCCTCCAGTGGTAATAATAATTTTGAAATGGATAACTTTTGAGAGATTTGTTTGTGAATCTCAAAATTGTCCCTCCTGTAGTGTAAGCATAGATTAATAAATTAACAGACCACCAATAGAAGCTTCAGATCAGTTTGGTGCAATTATCAAGCCTGAACTTTGTAACCTGATTGGATCCATGCAGCTTTGTATAGATGACAGTGGTCAGCAGTTGGAACGACAACAAAATACAATGATGTCTTTAAGAATCAAGACAGTGGATTTGGGAAGTTTTGCACTGGAAAAGAAGTAAAAGAACCAAAGGATTTGATTTCATGTAAATGGTCAGAGTGAATAAACTATCTGCAAGCAGAGCAAAATTTGGTTGTGATAATGAATATACAAAAATTTCTTAATCCTTGTCTGCATTGGTATGCTTTTGAATGGATTTTGTGTGGCATTATTCAACATTGACTTACCAGAGAATCACACTGAAAGCCGTTCAAGGACAACTCCTCAACAAATCTGATTTGCCGCAAAAATTGAGAGAATGTTTTGAATACTTTGGGATTCATGCTCCTCAAGCATTATCAAAACCCAAACCCCAGAAAACAATTGGGTTTAGGTTTGTCTGAAGTGTGCAAGGCCATTGACCTCCGTACAAGAGTCAATTTCCTTCATATAAACATGGGACATTGGGTTGGGATTTGATGCACTTTATATGATTGCCCAAAAAGAGAGTCGGTAAAGTTTCAAAGGGAAAACCCCCTCATGATCCTATGTCTGGCTCAAGTTTCACATTCATCATGCAAATGAAAGCCAAGCACCACCCATTAACCTAGCATGCTCCCCTAATGAACAGAAAATGAAGTCATAAACAGCCTCATAACAAATGGTTGTAGTTTTTCAATCTACTCACATGAGAACAATTGCAAGGCTAATTATGCACACACATGATAATAAAATTGATTAAGTGGATGAAATTAAAGAGCAATTTTTATATCTTGTGTCATCTTTTCATATGCTGTACAGGTAAGAAAAGAGGGAAAAAGGTTGATGATTGAATAGTTCTAGTTTTGTACCTCGGCCAAATTATCAAACCTTGTCTGTAATGACCAGATTCAAAAAGTAAGCCGGGATGAGGCTAGGTAGGTGCGATTTTCGGTTAGATTTGGGGTTGATTTTTCGAGCTTTCTTGTCGGAGTGTCAGGTGAGGCTGGGCTTAACGAAGAGGGAGAAAAGGTTTGCGAAGATAGCATCCACTCGCTGTGTCTTGGCCTGGTTGGGGTCGACATTTCCTCGTAGTATCTTCTGCAAGTGTCCGAGGTGGTGGTTTGGGTCTTATGGAGTCGCGGTTCGTTCGGAGCAGCAGCCGTCATATCCCAAGCAAGAGCTGGCATCTCGGGCAATGGAATCTCTGCAAGCGAGAGCTCGCGCTTGCGAGGAATATCTTTCGTTGGAGTGTTTGTATTGAAGGTCGTAAGGACAAGGTATCTCAATTGGCTCGCGTCTTCTGGCCCTGTATTGCTCTCGATTTCATCTTCTGATTCCCACTCTGCAGGCCCCTTCCCTTTCGTACACGGCGATTCAGGTTGGAATTGGCACCCAGATGACCTAACACTACTCAGCTTGGAGCGTCCGCTGATGCTCTCCTTCAACCTGGTAAGCAAATAGGAGGCTCCAGTTGATCGATTACTGCCTGCCTCCCTGTGGCGTTGATTAATCCCGAACTCGCTGAATCCGATATCGGTGCCGATATTTTCGAGATCTTCAGTCCGGTGCCCATGAATCCCCCGTTGTTTTTTGCTCTCCGGTAAACCCATGCGGGAAATGCAGCACGTCTGTCTACAGCTGGAAGGATGTGGATTCGGCGCGGTCTTGCTATTTGAGTTTACAAATGGATTTCTCGATGAGCCCACCCCCCATTTGCCAGTTTTCAAGCGATATCTGGCTGGGCCAAGACCAGGCGTGATGGAAGGTTTAGAAGTTTTCTTCGAAAGCGTTGTTTGGTTGATGGAGTCCCCCTCTTCATTGATCTCTTCCAAAGAATCTGTTGCGCATGCTCTTCGGTAATTCAAGTAAGATTGTATCGGGTTTCTTTTCTCGCTATTGGGCTTGAATCCAGGGGAAACAGCAGATTGATCGACGCCAAATTTGAAACCAGCAGGTTGTTCTGTTCTACCCTCAAGAACTTGCCGCATCGATATATACCGCTTAGGTTCCACACGACTCGAACTAAAGCCAGGCCATTTCGATTCCGGAGAGCGTGTCCAACGCAGTCCTTTCAATCTTGAGGCTCTATCACTAGTCCAATAGCCCGCAATAAAGATTATCCCAAAAAAAAAGAGCAAGACGATCAAAGTAGTAGCAATCGCTCGACTAGAGGTATGGGTATTTGCTGCCGGCTCAACTCCAAGTGCATTAATGGTGGGTTTGCTGGTGGGAATCAAACTATGTATAGGAGTCGAAGCCAATTTAGCGAAAGAGATTGTCGAAGAAAAGCTTTGATCATTATCACCCAAGCTGGCTTGCTGGGATATGGTCAATGAATAGGCGACTGTGGAGTCGCTGAGTTGAGGAGATCCAGTAGGTTGTGCCAGTGGGACAGCGGGGATTAAACTAGGCTTTGGAGTCGGTAGGAGCGGAGCTGAAGTTACCACATCCAATGACTGGCCGCGATTTCAACCAAACAAATCCGAGAGAAAACTTGTCAGTATGTAAGATAAGCTTGGCAAATTGTGGAATGGTTCTTAGTTGGCTCACCGTGACTGTAGCTATTATGCCATTGGAATTGATGTTCGAAACAAACGCCATGGTAAAATAGTATTATAAAGAAGAAGAATACACTAAGGTCCAACAGTCCAACAATCGATAAGCTTATCTGCGTGAAAGCTCTATTGCTTCCTTCGATGTAAGGCCGAATTCGATTGGTAGATACCAAAGCTCAACAAGCGCTTAATCGAATATTGTAGTGATCAAAAAGAGGGGGAATGCCTTGGAACGAACCTTTGTACGCTTCACTTCTTGCTAACCACTAATTTTGACTTTCGGCACCATGGGGCCGTCGATCAAGAACAGCCATCGCCTCTGCCCGATGGCCGAAGAGATGTGGAAGCAGCAAAGATAGTTGACCAACCCCCTGTGCATATTGTGATGAGTCAAATCTGAGGCCGTGGCTGCATGTTGTGAGCACCCTCTGCCGACCGGTCCCTCTGCCATTCACAATGACATCTTTGTCGAAAAGCGTTTTTTGGCCATGAGTCCACTGCTCGGTTGTTGCACTGGCTTCACTTGCGTTTACTCAGTTTTCTACGAAACCACCCTTGCCAATGGTTTGCTTCATGTATCCATACTGGGCGGACTACTAGCTGCGATGCATGTGCCAGGACGAGAACTTTACTACAGGTGGACGGATTGAATCGGCGGTACATACGTTTGCCGATTGGATTCCATCCCTCCGAGCCGTGAATCTCACTGAATGTATGGCAATCCTTCACCACACGCCATATGGGGAGATAAGAGTACAATCGTCACACAGTCCCCTCAATCTGTTCACCTTACCATTACATCCTGAAAGTGTATAATCTTTTACTTGGGTATTTTGACTTGCTCAAGCCTGACACGGATAAGCACAAGCGGGGTGACGGACCAAACCCAGGTGAAGACTGTCTTTGTCTTCTGAGATGCCAGCGGAATGATGGCTTGATCGCCTGGACACAGAAACGAATGGCATGAAGATAACAACATTGGATCGGCTGTTTTTTAGGACGCGTCCACCTTCGCTGCCCTCCGTTCAAGCTTGCACATTTGTCACAATCATTCCTGCCAGGAACCGATTCAGCGGCGCGCCGACCCAAGCATTCAACATTACGATTACCTATGATGCGAGAGGCTTGCGCTGAGGGTTCCCGTGTCTACTGCCCAGACTCCAAGGAGCATCAAGATCTTTCTTCATCCGATCTCAGTCAAACTTCTCAAACATCTCGCTCTCGCCTCATCATTGGCAGTTGTGCGTCATGACGTTTCAGTTTGCTTTGGGAGCTTTGGGGAAGAATTGCCCTTTTTTCGAATTACGCCTTCTTACCTGACCCAGAGGTCATGATGCCGCCGATTTCGATATGCACCGTGCTGATATGGACAACCATTTTTGATCTCGGGTCTGCGGTAGCTTTCCTGTTGGGTGTGGTCTCGTGTGGCTGGCCCACCCTGCCAGACCCTGTCACATACGCACGGGGTTTAGCAAGCTTGAGGGAGGCGCTGCAAGGCAGGCCCTGGCACCTGATTGCAAATGAGCGAACTGCCGTCGGAGATGTTAAGGGTGGTTGAGGCTCGCGAGTATATTCGCACGCGTTTTTGTAATGACTGACTGGGAACTGCATGGAGGAGCAGTTGACCTCTGATGACCTGTCAGGGAAAGTGGCATCACCTTGATCGAAAGAAGATGTGGCACGTAAAAAACAAGCAATCCACTGCGACAACGGTCGCATCAGCTGAGCACAGTTGCACAGGTGGGAAGCCGGATCGCTTCCGATCCTTCCCAAGATCTTTCCCACCAACAACCAGTCATCCATACGAGAGTATAAGACGGAACCCTGCCTCGCGGCACCCCTGCCCTTCCTCACACACACCGCCAAGTTCCAACACACACTGAGATTCTCAACTAAAAATTGCAATTTCTCAATCGCCCCCGGCAACAAACCGCAACCCTTCCCAGCTTGATCATAACCAAGATCGAGACATGATGATGCCCTCTAACCCACGAATTTTGCTTGTCTTAGCTGGTTGGTCCCCCCTCTCATTTCCTTCACCAGTGGCGACGCGCACTAATCATCCAACATTGCTTTACTCAATCGCACAAAGCCTTCCTCATCGGCGCCATCCAACCCAGCAGCCAGTGAGTCCTCACACATCCATCTCCGAGACAGTGGGTCTCCTAGACGCCTGTGCCATGCTGACTGTCTGACAATCTCCTCACCCACAGGGCTAGTGTATCAACGTCTTCATCAACAAGTTCCGCCAGCAACAGTGTCATTGTTAACGGGAAACCTGTTGTGGCAGATTGCGTGATGACTGTAAATGGTGTTACCGCACCGTGTGCCCATCCCGAATTGCTGGCCAACGTTCCCTCGACCATCGTCACCACCAGTCCTTGAAGAAGTGAGCAATTCCACCTCCTCTCGGCGAAAGTAAGCTTTCGTGACGTGCCCGTTCCAGGTTTGAATACCGAATACTTACAAGCCTTACTCACTCTCGTTGGCTACCCACCACTTAGCATCCACCAATGTAATCCGCATCTTCTCTTCCCCTCACCCGAACCGCCTTCGATCTCATGCTAGCTTATCATTCATCTAACCATATTATAAACCAAATCTCGTGCCAATAAGAAACTTGGATGCGGCGACTTCATTCTGCAGTCTCGTCTCTCCCCCCGCGCCATAATCCCAATCTATGGCGGTATTTGACTGTCATCACTTTTTACAAGAACATTTTTGTATGAACAATTCAATTCTTGAAAATGAAACGTTTAATTCAGATCAATCCCCTCGAGTTTTTAGAGCGCTTTGCCACTGAAGCCTCATCCAGGTGTCCATAAAGTAACACGTTCCCAAGGACAAGAGGAACTGACAGTAACAGCAACGGATGAGATTCCGCGAGGAATTGCAGATGTACTGGCATACGCGCCTCCCCTTGGAGTTCGAGGTGGAACAAACTGCCATACATGCAGTGGAATACCCTCCATACAAGTGTGAGCGCAAGATAGTTGAGAGCGGCAGTGCGATTTAGCTTGTGATACGATAGTGTGTATCTCTGGGAGGGAGGCGGCGAAGGAGGAATTTGCTAGTGAAGTAAAGCTGACGGCTTGAGCATGATTGAGCCTGGGGAGAGGTGTAGTAAGTCAAGGTATTTGTTGCAGCTGTTTTTCTTGAATTCTGCACCATATCTGCTTTCCAATCATCTTGATTCATATCTCAATGCAAGCCCTGCATAAGAAGAGGCTCTGGTTTGTTGGTCTCTTCAATCAATTGAACTCTCCATCTGAGCTCTGTGTAATGATGGTTTATTTCATGAGCAATCTATCTAGATTATCAAGTGCACAGTTTTTATTGACACTTTTGCTTTGGAGGTTAAACCAGCTTACAGCTACTTCGAAAATGGCTGTCCATGTCTGAAAAAATTTTCTTTGTCAAAATTTCTCTTCTTTGTCAAACTACACATAAGCTTTGACAACTCAACAAGGATTCAACTAGCTCGGAGCAAGGTCTTTGGTGGGAATCCTCCTCAAGCTAGTAGATTCATGTTGAGTTTATGAGATTTATGCATATGGAAAAAAAATCAGGAGAAAAAAAAAATCCAACTTGACAACCTTTGTCAAAATAGCCGTATAAAGGGTTGCTGTGCAAAATAATCTGTTAAATTTTCCCTGGACACTTTGATTATCTTTTTGATGTATCAAAAAACAATAATTGGACAGTGTTATCTGAATTCAAGAACCTCCATTAGAAACCCAAGGAAATTGTGTGTCACAGTGTTATTCATCATTCTACTGCAGTGCAGTAGTGTGTGTGCAGTCTGCACACACGTGTGTAAAGTTTTAATCCCTTCACTCAATCATTATCAAGAAGATCCTTAAGCTAGGGTGTTGAGGGAGACTTTCTAGAACCAATGTATAGTAATTATTTCTGAGAAAACTTGAGAGTTTTAATGCTAAACAACTAAACCAGACTGGAGACAAGAGAAAGTCATAGATGGAACTAGAGATGTTGCTTGATACCCGGGTACCTGTAGCGGGTGCGGGTACCTGCCTCAAAAATCCAATATTTTTGACACCCGCACCCGCACCCGCACCTGCTAGGGCAGCCAGGGCGGGTACCCGGGTACCTGCGCCGGGTACCTGCAGGTACCTGGCACATTTTTGCAGGCAAATATACCCAGAAATCTCACCCATGAATTTCTGCATGACTTGGTAAATATAAGATTGATATTCACTAGATATACGAGTAAGAATAAAATAAAAATAAAGAAATAAAGAAAAACAAATTATTCCATCACCAATTTGAATTTTATCTTCTCTCTGATCTATCTTTAGCTTTACCCTTTTGCTTGGCCTCATTTGCCTTATTCAATGTCCATTGATGAAGACTGTACACCGTCTTTATGACTGGAGGAATTCCTCCAGTCATCAAGACTGTACACCATCTCAAAGGCCGGAGGGAACCCTCCAGCCTCAACAAAGCAACCAGATTAGTTCAGCAACACATGTAAGACACCAGCTGGTGTCCTACATGGGTTGCTGACACCTTTGTGCAGCCCAACACACCCAAAAAAGGGAGTTTTGGACCACCAATGATAAATTAAATTCTTCAGGGGAAGCATTCCCAGGGCGGGTGTAAGGCGGGTACCCGGGTACCTGCCTTTTTTTACCGCAAATGTTGACACCCGCACCCACACCCGGTACCTGTTTCCAGGTACCTGCTTTGGAAAACAGGTACCTGCAAACGGGTACCGGGTACCTGCAAACAGGTACCTGCTGACATCTCTAGATGGAACAAAAGAACAAAGAGAATGAGAAATGATAAAAGAGATAATTTACCACAACAGAAGACTAATCTTATGAGAAAGACAACTGAATAAAAAGAAGACAAGATAGAGGAGAACACGAGACTATTGACAAAAAAGAAAGAGGATTAGTTGTGGCCGATGGTCACGGTAAGATGTTGGAGTTATTTTCTCACCAAAGTTGATACTGAAGTGATCCAGTTGATGATAGGGAAGTCAACAGAGTCAAAGATTTGACCAAGATGAAGGTGTAGATTTCGTAAGGGGGAGTCAGCAGAGTCAAAAAGTGTTGAGTCAAGGGGAAGACTTAGGGAAGTAAGAAATGAGGGAAAGGTTGGTGAGTATGGGAATATAAGCTTTAAGGACAGTCGATGATGCTACTGTCAGTACAGGTGGCTCGGGCTCGGTGGGGCAAGGGAGGGGCAGACCTTTAAGGACAGTCGATGATGCTACTGTCAGTACAGGTGGCTCGGGCTTGGTGGGGCAAGGGAGGGGCAGACCTAGGAACAAGGAGCAGAAACAAGATTGATAGATTTCATGAGTAAAGAAGGAAAGGAAAGAAGATTGGATGAGAATGATGAGAAACATAGAGGAAAGAATAAAGACCTTTAAGGACAGTCGATGATGCTACTGTCAGTACAGGTGGCTCGGGCTCGGTGGGGCAAGGGAGGGGCAGACCTAGGAACAAGGAGCAGAAACAAGATTGATAGATTTCATGAGTAAAGAAGGAAAGGAAAGAAGATTGGATGAGAATGATGAGAAACATAGAGGAAAGAATAAAGACCTTTAAGGACAGTCGATGATGCTACTGTCAGTACAGGTGGCTCGGGCTCGGTGGGGCAAGGGAGGGGCAGACCTAGGAACAAGGAGCAGAAACAAGATGAAGAAGAAAAGAGAAAGAGAACAACGGTTGGATAGTAGTAAAGTGAAAATACAACAGATGTCACAGGTGGCATGTCACAAGCAGTCACTGAGATTTCTCATTATTCCCACAGTGAGTGGAATGACTGAGAAGAGGGAGAGAGACTGCCAAATGAGAGTGGATCAGGTGTTTAATGAGTGGTCTGTAGAGGGTCAGGAATCAGAGATGGGCAGTTGTTAGTTATGTTTTGAGAGATGAGAGTAAGCAAGAAAGGATCAGGTTTCAAAGGTTGATGATTTTTAGTTTTGCTGTGGAGTTCTTGATGAGGCAAGGTTCACAGATGGATCACAAGGATTCCAGAAATTTCTAGCTCAGCAGATAGTGAAGAAATACTAGTCAAAGTCTCTGATTAGTATAGTACAAGATAACTGAAAAATTGAGAAGGAACAGAAGCAAGGAAAGAGAAAGATAGAAATGAAAAGCTTAGCCAGCTCAGCAGATACATAGTGAAGAAATAGGAGTCAAAGTCTCTGCAAGTCTCTGCTGAGCTATGTAGGAGGAGGGGGAAGGGCAGGGCAATGTCTGTTGAAGACTGAAGTAGTTGATGGATCAAGCACTCATGTAATTTGCATGTGAGACCTGTGGGATGTGGGCTTTCACAGCAGGGGCCAGGGATGCTTGGAAGATCTGATTCAGACAGACAAGCTGCAAAACCTTACTGGGTTTTTTGTCCTTCTTGGAAGTGTCCCCTTTCAACATGATCCAGTCCCAGGGTCCCTTGGAAAGGTTTTTGTTTTTTGCAACAATAACAGTCCATCTAGTACAGTAGTGGACAAATACCATCATACTATTGCTAAAATCATTCAGATATTGTAATACAGTGGAACTGTCAGTGTCTGCTGTTGCATCCTCCTTTTCATTTTTTGTTTTTGTGATTGTCATATTAATTCTGAGCATTACAAACAAGAAAATCCTCAGCAATGGCTTCAAAGCACAATCAATGAAAGCCCAGACAGGACAAAAATCCAGCAAAAAAAGGGATGCACTGTTCAAGCTCTGAGCCCCCTTGATCCGCGCAGTTGATTCGAAATATGTAACCCTAGCTTAACAAAGCTGTTTATAACCTTAGTGTTATGGTCTGGGCCATTTATTATTGCTTGTCCAGGGGACTGTTAAACTTGATGTATAATTGATGGCACTAGTTGGTCTTATTTATTTCTCGAGCAAAGCTACCATGGCAGCTGAGACGTGTCATTTGACAACACATCCATCAATTTCAGAATCAGAGAATCCAATGTCAACTCTGTTGTTTTAGCTACTTAAGTCCACCAGTACAAAGCATTTTTGCCTCTTCTTTGTTTGGCTTGTGTTGGGGGGAAGATGGTCGATATAATATGCCGAATCTAATGTGGAGTTTAATGTTAGCTTAGTAGTAGTCTCTCATAAAGGTTCGGGAGGGAGCCACTTGTTCAACGATCAGCAACAAACTTGATTGTTATAGAATGAGTACGGGAAACGTTCAGGGGATAGATTAGAGTTTGGGATTGTAGAGCAGTCAACCACAAGATATAAATTGATGTATATGAGGCCTATGTACATTTAGATCGTAATGAATATTTTCCCGTGTAGATATATGTATATATATAGGCGCGCGTAGGTGAGTGGACAAGTGTGTTGAGAAAGAATAAAAGTCATATGGATCATACATATTCGAGTTTATCAGAGGGGAGAATGTATGTGGGAGGTTATGAGATGACAGCGAGATTAAGAAGAGAAAGGAGAGCCAACAGGGGGATCTGTAGTCACTCTAATTTTCCGCACCGAGCTTCGACGTATTGTAAGATTCTTTTCGAAGCGACGTCGCCGAGGACCTCGACGAGTTGATCGGGTCGCTTGCCATCAGGGTCCAATCTCTCCCGATTAGCGCCGGCTTCGATCAGCACACACGCCGTCTCAGCATGGCCCGACTCAAACGCAAGGTGCAGTGGGGTATGGCCAGCATTGTCCACGACATTCATCTTCGCTTTGGGTCTCTCCGTCCCTTTCTCTTCGTCTGCATTCGGCAGTTCAAGAAGTAACTTCACAAATGGCGTGGCTCCTGAGGACGCGGCTCGATGACTGGCACAGTGAGCAAGGGAAAACGATTCAATCGGGCCGGCTTTTTTTCTTCTACTTCTTCCTGAGTTTCTCTTGTCAATACTGAAAACGGCTTGAAGTAAAGTGGACTGACAGTGGTAACTGGTTGGCTCGATCTTTCGCGTTGATGTCGGCACCATATTGGACTAGTAACCTCCCAATCTAACGGCGAAGAACAGATGCATCATCACCATGACTGCCCATGCGGTTACTCGATGAAACGAAACACGTTGAGAGGGGACTTGGGGGGTCACTCAACCTCTAATCGTCCTTTCGATGCGGCGTAATGTCTGTTTGTTTGTTTTTTACATCCAAAATCGAGTGAGCACACGTAGAGATGATGGGTTAATAATCTGTTAAAGAACTCTGGGGTGGGGGGAGGGTAGTTTCCTCACAATGCCGTCTGTCCTTTTTGGTTGACTGCGTTGACGTTTGCACCAGCGTGAATCAGCTCTGATACGACCTCTGTAATTCCAGCAGAAGCTATTCAAAAAGAGGAGAAGTAACCAAGGGATCGAATTAAATGAATGTGCTTTACAGAGTCTTCCCGTGACTGAAATTATGAGCTTACATACCTGCAATAATCAATGCTGTCCAGCCCATTGCGTCCGGAATTTCGATATCGCATTTGGGTTCCTGTTGTTCAAGTAGGACCTGTTTCATGTGACGGATTGGGGCATGAGCAAAGAGAATCTACAACCTATAATTAACTTTTGAAATTAAGAGGAAGATCGTGAACACGTACTCTGACAACAGACAAGCTGCCACTCGAACTTGAGTTATGCAAAGGTGTTCGTCCATCTGAGTCTAGTGCGTTTATTCGATTGGGATCTTCAGCCAAAGCAGCCGAGACCAGCTGGGCTTGACCTAAGAATATCTCAAAGTCATCAGCTCTATGCTTACTTTGAGAATATGGGGCCAAATTAAATTAAAAGGGACTGAGCAAGATGGAACTCACCCTCGTAGGCCGACCTGTGGATGTCAATGGGCATTATATTTGAAAGTATCTTCTTGGGAAATGGTTTGGTCCTTGGGGAGTTGGTGTTGGACAACGGATGACAGGTAGTTGATCGAGCACTGAAAGTGGTGGAGCAAGAGGGCCTGCACAGCAACCTTGGACGGGCACCACCCATCTTCTGATTCGCCGTCGGGCGGACATCCAGGAAACCAAGTAGGTACCACCATCATCTCATCATCCTCACTCATCCTCTTGAATCTATTAAGAAACAGAGCTTCAACTAAATACATTTGAATCATACTTCAGTTCATTCAACCAATCATCTGATGATTCAAGTGCTCACGGTCCAATGTCAGGCCTCATACATAATTCTGCCAAAGGAAACATAAGGTATTTATTGCAGTGCCAGCAGTAGACCATAACCAGCTCCCTGAATATGCTTATTGACTGATCTCAATGGCCAAATGTTCTGATAGTATTAGAAACAATAGGCCGGTTCACGTCTGAAGTTCAAGGCAGTTTTTAGCACATTTGTAGATAAAATCTCATGAATTTTGTCCAATCTCATGAATCATCAGGTTTGGATGAATTTGATCAGATTTGTGACAAATTTGTAAAATTTTAATGATAAAGGTCATTAAATTTGCCTCAAAGTTCAGACATGAACCATCCTATTAGGACGGTTCAGTCCAGATGATTTCAAGCAGACATTAGGACTCCTAATGCCTGCTTGAAATCATCTGGACATACCACCTGAAAGCCTGATCACCTTTACACTAGATCTCTAGATCTCAAGGCCCATCTCTTTGAACTCTCTTGTGAAGTGATGTGAGCCAAATACATAAGTTGAATTCACTTTAAAGCATATCTTTTCTTGTTCATTTTGATTTTTTTGTTTTAGAAAGGAGGGTGAGTGGAGGACTTCCCGTTGCCATTTAGAGTGCTTTTTAAGCCCTCCCCAGTCTAAAATTAACACCCCAATCATGATTCCAACCAGCTCATGTGAGAGGTATCATCACCAGGCTTGCAAAAAAACAATTCTTTACACCAAAAATTACGATCTTGGGGGTGTAAATTCAATTCTGGGAGGGTTGTAAACCGCGACGGGAAGACATCCAGTATCATTCCAAGGCTTCTTCATTTTCTTCTTTTTTTCTACACCTCAATATATATAATTAATTTAATTTATATCAACCATCATAAGCTTAAAGGAAGAAAGATATTCTTTTTTTTCTTTTGAAAGAAAAAAAAAAGAAACCTCCACCAAAACAAAACAAAAAAAACTTCCTACCAAAAAAAAAATTCAAAAAATAAAAAAACCACCATCAAATAAAAACAACACCAAGCAAAAGAAAAAAAAAGCAACGTCATCAAAAGGTGAACAAGGGGGAAGAAAAAAAAAGGAACCCAAGACAATAAAAAAAAAAAAAAAACATAGTTTATCAGGCAGAGAGATAGGAAGGAAAAAAAGACAAGTCAGGTGATGATAGACTCCACCTCTGGGGCAGGGAACAAGTAAAGAAGTATACAGCCCTGAAAGGCATACACAAATGAAAATAGTAAGTGTTGGTCTTGTTTTGATTATGGAGGGGGAGGAGAGCGTTGTGCAGGAGGGATGGACGAAGCGACGGTATGAGGGAAAGAGTCAGACATGACCGAATCGGGGTGATCATCATTGCGATTAGCAACCCCAGTGGTAACGGTAGTGGTAGTAGCAGTAGTCGTCATATTAGCATCCGGGTTGGCATTCGGAGGCATGTTGGTATCCAGAGGCTCAGGTCTGTTTGCCAGTTGCTGGAGTTGAGGGTCGATTGTTTGGGGATCCACACGAGCAACCAAGTCCAGATGAGAAGAGTGAAGTCTCTGCTGGAGTTCGGAGGGGGTCGATTGAGGAGAATAAGTCGATAGCCCCGATTGGCTTTTAAGACTAGGATGGACATTCGAGTGATTGCTAAACATGCCGCCCGGATTAGTGCTGCCTGAAGTCGGATGCGTTCGATTGAATAGATGCTGCCCCTGTTGCTGGTCCAGTAAGTACCGTCTAAGCCGATGCATAACTTCGATCGGTAAAGTCCGGTGCAAATTTGTATTTGTTCGAAGAATACAACACAATTTCTCCAAGTCATCATAATACTTTGTCAAGTCGGGTTGGGTTGTCGTCGGCCTCGTCGTAACCGGGGGTTTGACGCTTGGAAGAAGAGATGGAGGCAACGGAGTCGGTCTGGGCATTGTGGCATTGGATGGGACTTGGTTCGCAATGTTCCCATTTGACCTCGACAATGTGCTCTCTCCGCTTGAATTCACATCCTGGAGCTGGGTCAGACAAGGGGCAAGGTTACTACTACTGGCGGGGTTCGCCTATTATTATGCAGAAGAAAGAATTGCAAGTAAGTCATCAAAGGATAAAACGAAGAGGAGGAGAAACAAACAAACATTGGCAGGAGATACTTCATTCAGTGTCGTTCCACCAAGCCTGCTAGGATTGCTCATCAGGATAGTGATTTTAGACTTGGTATTAGAGGGGCCGGAAGTACTGGGTACAGAATGGTTGAGTTCATCTTTTGGTTTACTAGTTCTTGGTCGAGGAGGAGGTTTGGGTTTGCCATTGATATGCGTCCTCAATTTCTTCACCGCTCGTGGAATTGGAACTCCAGAACAATCAGCACAAATAAAATCTGCTGTTGCCCAATTTCGCTTAGCTCTCTTCATGATTTCATCAGCCTTATCATGGCAAACTAAATGTTGCCACATCTCGCAGTTGTCACAGCATATCACCTCACTGCCATCATCCTAAATTCGATGAAAACGCACATCCTGTCATATAAATTGTCGTTCTTTTCTCTTCACACAGATTCATGTCGACTAGCTGAAGCCAACTCACCATGTTGCTTCCGATGACACCACAGATCTCACAATTCAATTCCCACTTTTCGGTCTCATCGATAGAGGGTACTGAATTCTCAGCCCCGGCCCTGGCGACTTTGACAGCCTTACCCTGGAGCTTGCTCTCAGCTCTCTGTCTAGCTCGTTCCGCCCGTTTGAGTTCGGCTTCTCGTTCACTCGCCTGTTGAGCCTCCCGGAGCGCTATTTGTTCCTGTCGTTCTCTCAATCTGATCAATCGTTGGTCCTCTTCCTTTTTTTTCTTTGATTCTTCATGCTCGACTTCTTTCAACCGTTTGGCTTCTAATCGGTCTGAATGCATCCGAGTCTCCCTGGTCATCATTTCTACTTGCATTGAGTTCGCTTGAACGGCCTCTCGTGTGGCCAGTCTGCTGGATCGCTTTCGTTGAGCCATGGCCTCTTCTTTTTGTTTTCGAGCTTCCTCCTCCTGAGGAGATGATTCGACAACACGATACAAAAGGATGACTAGGCGTCAATTTTCAATGCTTATGAAGATCAAGTAGCGTGATCAAAACTTACGTTATGGGCGGCAATGACCTGTGGTAAAACTTCATTATCTATGAATTCAACCAGCTGTTTTTCCGACTGACTTTCGGTATTTTGAAATTGCAAAGAAAAGTTTTTCCAGTCGTTCAACTCTGCACAAACCTATCCAAAGTTCAAACATATGTCAAATTCGCTTCCTTTTGAAAGAGGTCATATCATCAGCTTGAGACTTACAACTTCCCATTCAATCCAATCTGGATCGAGGGGGTGTCCCTTTAATTCAGGAAAAAGTGAGTCCGAACCGTCCAAACATGGTTTTACTTTTTCGGCGTCGCAGGAAGACAAATTTCCCGAGTCAACATTCGGAACAACCTCGCTGGTTTGGATATTAGATTCTGGAGTAGTTAGTTCAGAGGAGGGGTCGTGGGTTGAGACAAGGATCGATTTTGCAGGTTCGGGTGGATTGAGTAGTACATTGCTTGTTGCAGAGTCGTCGGACGATGATTGATGAATGTTGCTAACAGGAAGATCAGTAGACTTCTGGTCCTGGCAATCTGTCACAGGTACGGCGTCTACTTCTGTGGTTGCAACATTCATATTTTGCTCGCGAGATGAGTCTTTATGTTGCACGTCGCCTTTTTCAATCGCTCTTTTGACATCTGGTTTGACATCCACACTGGCAGCCCCTCCACTAGAGTCATCGGACAAAGACTCGCAAGTGACGACAGTCGAAGCATCTGGGCTATCAGAAAGTTCTGAGAGACTTTCGTCCACAGAGGCATTATCCGGTGCTGCGGGTAGGTGTTTCGTTTTGGTGGGTGGCGGATTTGGTTTGGTTTGATTAGATTGGCGAGTATTGCCGACGAACTCATCATCGTCACTCATCTCCGAAAGATCACTAGAGAGGACTGTGGATGATTTTTTAGAAGTAGGCTGAACCACTTCTTCTAACCAACCGGCGGGCACGTCTTGCCAAATCTCATTATTAGCTCTCCGCCTTGATATCGGTCGTCTAGATCCATTGACACCCTGTTTTTTGATTTCGGGCGTGTTGGAATTATGAGGCACACCAGTCTTCTTTATCACAATCATTGTTGGTGGCCGTGGCGAAGCAGATCTGTTGCTAGACTCGGGCTGGGTGGCGCGTAATCTTTGCGATGATCGGGTGCCGGTCAATCTCGGTCTCTTTGCATCGGGGAGTACACCGCTGCTGCATCGACGGCTTGGGTTAGTAGCTGGGGTTGATGGGGTAGTTGAGGAGGTTCGAGTGACGTGTTTGCGTTTCTGTTGTTTGCTTTGCCCGTTCTTCGGCTTCTTCTTTTCCCGTGCTGGGATTCGAAGAGTAATTGCTTTCAGAGGCGGCTGGGGTTCTCGACGTTGAACCCAGAGCCTAGACTCGATGCCTTGCCCACTGAGCCAATATTGGTTCCCTTTGGAATCAATTCCACAACGTTCTTGTCTCCACTCAAATCGTTCATCCAAACCCGCAGTGTTGGGACTATTAGCCTTGGCTAGCACCTGGCGACGGAAACGTTCCAGGTCGGTTGAGGTACTGAAATGCCATTCACATAACTTAAAAATGGCATTAAGCTTGATGGTTGGTAAAAGACTTGACCAGGGTATCGCGATGGGACCTGCTGGGTGCTGAGGTGCTGGACTGGAATTTTCACTGGAAAGTGCCGTAAGAGGCTTGGATTCGGGTGGTTCGGTTTGACGGGACAGCCCTTCAGGGGGAGGTTGGATGGATGGATTTGAGTCTGCGAGGAGCGATTCAGAACTTTTGGTGTCAACCTGGTTGGATGTGGGTAGTTCAAGAGATGAGCTCTGTTCAGTCGTGTTGCTTGGCTTGGTATCAGGGAGGTCGCTTGGAGTCGGTTTGATTTCAGGGGCGTCTTGTGGATAGGATGGGTCGGTGGGAGTTTGGCCATTCGCGGGAACTTGATGACAGGTACCATTTTTAGATTTGGTTAGTTCAGCATATTGAGAGTTCAAGTCGTCGATGGCAGGTAGGGTTGAGAGTGGGATGGCCTCGGCGATATAAACATAACCAACGGCTCGTTTATTGATCTTGGGTTTTGGCTTTGCAGGTTCTTCTCCTAGTGGGTTTGCCTGAGGTTCGCGTTTTATGAATTCTCTACGCAATCGTGATTCCCAGTTGGAGGAACTATCGGAAAACACAGAAAAGGGTGAGGAAGGAATGAACTAAGAGTTGAGGCGAATCCCAGACAGGAGGGGGCTTACTTTGTGGTTCGATCACCAGTCAGAGAAACCAAGAGCTTTGGAATCAAGCTTGGGAGGTATGAATCGGGTTGACTGCCATCTAAATCAGCTTCGAGTTGCTGTGAGGTTCAGTTGATAGATAGGTGGGAGGGAGGGAAAGAGAGAGAGACAAATCTGTCAGACAGGTGTATTTCAAGCCCAGTGGCATCATGCAAGCTGGAGCAGAGAGAGAGAGTTCAGATGAAAGTAAGGAGATGAAGAGTGCTGAGTTTCAGGAGAAAAGAGTCTCGGAAAAACACGCGAGAAGCTATGCAGGGCGTAGACAAGGCTAGGTAGAGGGAGTTTGCAGATGGAAAGGGGGATGAATGTGTTCTGATCGGTGAATAGATACCGATAGAGATGTGATTTATCTGTGTTTCGGAGGGAGGGGTTTCTGGCTTACTGAGATGGTGAAGTCCGGTATGGATAGGAGGGGTGCGAAGATGTTGAGGAAGTAAGAGACCGAGAGTAGTTCGAAGCTCCTTCTGATGGTTCTTAGTGGGGGAGGGAGTGACCGAGTTGGATGAATGATTTGGTTGAGTTGTTGTTGTTGTTGTTGTTGTTGTTGTGTTTCTGGGTTTTGTTCTTGTTGGTTTGTTGGTGGTTCTTGTTGTTGTTGACCGGTCGAGTGAGAGTCTTCCATTGCTCGTCCTCTCTTTTCCACTCGATTTCTCTCTCGATCTCTCTCTTTCTCTCCTCTTGACCGTCTTGGAACTGCCCCCTCGGGTTTTAAATCGGATTAAATCAAATGTCGACCCCACTCTCTTGACCCTCCTGAGTTTTGTCCTTGGATGTATGCATCCCTGAACTCAAATTGCATACTAAGCACTCTCTGGGGCTTAAACAACCGACCCTCAAGACCCGCCATCCAAAAACAAAAGGCAGCTCAAGAAAAAGAGCCAACCTCCAGTGATCACCTAGCTGCTCCCTATACTCGAAGGCCAGTGGCCGCCTGGCCAACCCAAGCTTTCGAAAGTCTGCCTGCATGAAGACAGGTGGGTTGACCGATCCCCAGCCCTGGCCTGCCCTTCGGCCGATTTGGTGCCCAATCGGTGGAGATTCTTAAACATAAAAAGGGAATAGTTGTTGCAAAGGTTCAAAAATATAATTATGTAATCCTGATGAGCGTCCATAGCTTGTAAAATTACAACATTAATCAAATAAAATAAATAAATAAATAAGTAATTATGATATCACAACTTTTGGTAGTGTTGTGGGCACCCCCGTATTGAGTAAGGTGTAAATCCAGATCATTAGCTTTCATCGGTAGACCCATACAAAGAGAAGGATGGCAAGACTCACAGATAAGAAAAAAAATGCGGAAAGATGGCAAAGGAAGGCCCTTCATTTTTTCGGTCGGAAAGACTATCCAATCACTTCTTTGGGGTGGAGCGAGCTATTAAGACCGTCACTCTTGGGTTGATCCTTGGCTCTATGAACAAAGATGCTGTCAGATTCGAAGAGGACGTCCATGTCTTCAAGACTTCTGCCCGCTGTTTCTGGGTACAAGAAGTAGATGTTCGGCAGGGTGAAAAAGTTCAGGAGACCGAATCTGTTGATGCATAATTTGGAGCAGAGCATCCAATTCAGCTATCCATTTTTCATCCATCGGTTTCTTAAGTTTCGAGTGATTCTTACAAGATGAATGTCCAGTAGGTGATCGAGTTGAACAAGAACGGTGCGATCTCGGTAACGATTCCATTTCCTATCGACCATCCAACGACACTCCACTATATACACAAATATGGTATGTATTCAAGTCAGATTGTCACAAGAAAGAAAAAACATCAAGTGTGGAATTCTACGCACGCATCCACCCTTCGCTCGTGCATACAGGGGCATGATTTCGGTAGGCACAAGCCATGGGACGGTTAACCAGGCTAAAGAGGGGGGAAATGCGTCAGAAAATGAACAATGGGAGTTGAGGGACTAGTGACTTACTGGCGCCGAAAGTAGCGGTGTAAATGAAAGTAAAACTGTCAAGGAGAAGACACGAAGGTTTGGAGTAAATTGGTGTCCGTTAAGGATAAGCGGCGCAGAAGGATGATGATGTGTAGGTACGAACGCGGTAACGACGTTTCCCCAAGTCTGACGGTCAACAGTGGATAAGGAGATGTCGGTAACAAATCTGATGACATATGTAGAAGATGGGATCGATTGAGTTCCGGTTGATTAGAAAAGACGAGTTGATTTGAATCGGAGGAATGGACGTTACCTTGCAGCAATTCCACAGATCAATAAGGAAATGCCCATCAAGATGGCCCCCCAGTAAAGCGTGACCCGTCTGCCCATCCGATCCAGCGTCACAATCGCAACAGTAACGCTCAACACTATCATCAAGACATTTAATCAGTATCACACTAGTGGGGAGTGGGGTTTGTGAGCGGAAACTCAACTGTAAGATATATCATTAATACCGGAGAGCCTGAAAAAGAACCAATGGTTGAAACCGTTAGACACAATGCGTGGAAAAAGCTAAAGAGGAGGGAACTCACAAGTCGGCCTTATACTCGCTATATCCAGCCTGATGCACATCAGAAGAAGCGTGGAGATATCAAAAATCAAAGCAAATTCTACATGCAACTTTGATGAAGGGTACGAACCTGTTGAAAGACGGTCGGCGCATAAACAGTGACGACTCCGATTCCAACCAATTCCTGCATGATTTGGAGCCAAATGATCAACCAAGTCCTGCGACGTAAATGCTGAGGGTCATCACAGAACAACATAGACCAATAGGTAATTGCACCTGATCCGCAAGACAACCCAAACAGAGAATCAGATCGATGGGCCCAGAATTGATCGATACACTTGGCTTGAAATTGCATACCGTTTTCTTCCTGCTTTCGCTCCTCTTGGACAGTCTCCAGGATTCCCTGGAGCTCAAGCTCCACCCGTCCAGTGAGTTCTTCTTGCGAATCTCCGGCCTTGTGTCGGAGGACTGAAAGAACTTGCCGGGCATCCTGGTCGCGACCCATTTTTGCCAACCTGAACAGATCTGCTGGTTAGCGCTTTTCTTGCCAGACATCAAACAGACATTTAAGAACTGACCATCGAGGCGATTCCGGGAACAGGGGAACTAGGATTAGAAGAACCACCAAAAATCCAACCTGGATGGAGTAGCCAGGAGGCGTGATCACGTCAGTCAAGCTGCAGCTAATGAGTTTAAGTTGAATACTAACCTGCAAAGCCAAGGGCAATCTCCAACGTAAGGATTGATTTGCTTCACGCAAGCCAAATTCGATCCACTATTGGTTCGGAGATCCACATTGTATTTTACAGAGGGCAAAAGATCAGTGAGGCTTCAAGCGGTTTATCCAGTACAATGCTAACTGACATATGCTGTGGCGAGTCCGGCGATGTTAAGCATAACTAGATTGGATCGAATTGAGATTTGAGAGACGAGATATTTGAGCGCGAGGATGAGTCAGAGGATCAACTGTTGGGGGACATGGAGAGAGGTTGTGCCCACATTCAAAGCCCATTGCGGCACCTCGACCGGAATGATGCGAAAGCTCAGAAGTCCAGACGGGCACCAAAGCATTTAACTGGCCGGTTCCGATCCCAGTGATCACCCGAGCACAGCTTTGAAATACGTGCTGGATTTAGTGATGGCCCTTCTTTTTGTTGGTAGTGTTATCATCTTTTAGAGGGGAAAAAAAATTGCATACCACATCCATGTAATCTTTTGTCGGTTTGGTATTGTGGAATTGCGGCATTGAGGATCAGCTAAGCGGTTGATACAGGAGGAAGATGACTGGAACAAAGAGATTATACATTTTGTGCCGAGGCTTGTAGAGCGGCACCAATGATGGCCCAAAAGCAAGCAAAGACGATGGCTGTAAAGGAGAAATGTCAGTCAACCTTCCGGGGCTTTTTTTTTCTGTTATAATTTCTTTAGCCCTCTCGGAGAAGGAGACCACCCACTTTTGAGCCGTCCGATCCGATCACCAAGTGATCCACCGATCAAGGCTCCGATGAACGTTCCCTGTGAGAATTAAAAGACAAGTTGGAGTAAGCGGGTTGAGTTCTTATAGGCTCGTGTGATCGGGATGGTTACTTGCCCCATAATAGACAGCCACGATGCTGCAGGAGCGTTAAAGCGGAAATATCAGCTCTGGCTGCCAGTAGTGCAGGCGGAAGCCACATCAGGAAAGCAGCAGCAAACTCACCCTCCAATCTTGGCAGCATCGCCGTCAGTCTGAGGCTGGCTGAATATACCCATCTTTTCTTGATAATTGATCGTGTTGTTGACACCTAGCTCAAGCCAGTCGTGTTAATTTGCTGCTTTCTCATAGGCTATAGGGTAAGGGGCATTTAACTAACCGGACATAACACCCTGATCAAATCCGTAGAACCTGCAACACAGGAAGCAATGTCATGGCCAAGTTGAGTACAAAATCAAATGGTTAGAGATCACCACCATGAGGACCTTCAGGCAAGTATAAACCTAGAAGCAGAAAGAAACCCAAGTCGAAAACCCACATGATGGCAATTCCGGCTACGATGTTGACAGCCCAGGTCATATTCTGACCCTTGAAGGGCAGTTGACGGGTTGGCGAGTATCCACCGGGGAAAAACTTGGCGTATTTCCATTCTGGAGGAGGGAGGATTTGTTGCAAGGAGTTTGATGGACTAGACTTCTCGGTCACCTCGAGCGCATCCAGCCTTTTTTCTTTCAAATTGTTCTGTTCAGGTTCGACAGCGGAGGAAGAATGTGCAAATGGCATCGGGGTCGACTGTGCATCGTTTTGATTAGCTGGGGAAGACATGGTTCTCTGGCGCGCCTTGAAGTATCTTTTGTGGTTTTTCGGCTATGATATCGATGTGCTGACGTTGAATTTTGAGGAAGATTTTTTAGATTTTTTGAGTCTGAAGAGTGAGTGAATGTGTGTGTTTTTGTGTGTCTTTTTTTCTTTTCTTCTCCACAAGGATAAATTCAGAGTAGTTTTGTGGGGGTCTTATTATACCTAGGAATTAGGCGAATGCGGAGGGCAGAGAAAGTTGAGACGGCAAAGATTAACAGATGAGATTGACAGATTAAAAGGGTTTGAAGAAGCTTCGGCTAGAAAAAAAAAATGAAATGTGAGCAGCCAAGTTAGACTTTTGGATGTTCGGGGATGATGCAAGAGGTCGAGGAGATTCGAGGAGGATGTCGATGGGTTGATCCATACTTAATAGCAAGTAAGTCGATTGGCTAGCTCTTTGACCCCAAACAAATCATCATGCACCACTGTATCGTCCATTGGTCACTGTGAATAAAGTTCAATCGTCTGGTCAGTTTGGCAGGTCCCGCCAGCTCCTGCTCGTCTGTCGCCCGACACGCGGGACTTCCAAAGCTGGCCACCATCCCGCTTGGAGCTTCACCGGTGATCGTGCAGTTCACGCGTGAGCGAGCACCTATGGTGTTGTGAAGCCATTCATTTGATCCTCAGAAAGAGTTAATTCTAGCGAAAATTTCAGAATGATTGACTACTATTACGGTGTCTTATCGCGACGAAGTGGAACTGATCAACGGGCACATTGGGATTATCATCCTTATTCCTTAACTCCAAGTAATCGAATGTCTCCATAAGTTTGCATCTCAAGTATTAAAAAACACGTTCGGAAAATAGTGCGCTCGAGTACAATGTGCGGCCGACAATTGTATGAGGATCGACACTTCTCGGTGTATATGACTGAACAGGAAATGAGAAAAGTGCTATTTATTAATGAAACTCCAAAGCTCAACGCTAAAAGGTGCCCGGGCGTCCAGAACAGTTCGAACGCCAAGGACTACAATTGCGCAAATTCGGTTCCAGTCGATCCAACCGCGAAGCTTGGAATGCCACAGGTGCCGCGCCGCCGCTCGAGCTCAGCTCAAGATGATCACAAACACCGGTATATCTTATACAAGCCGTTCTCCATCGCGCTCCCCAACTGACCATCAAAATTTGTGAAATCCACGGCGATTGTCGGCCTGAATATGGCTTCGTGCTGAGCCTTCTACGTGCCGGCACGTAATCCTCGTAAATCTCATATACCTGGGAATCGGGAAGTGCTTTGCAACAGTGTGCCAGCTTCCCGAAGAATGTCGTGAATGCCTACGTCAACGTGACATACATAAAATGATAAATCCATTCGATTCCCTCGGGATTCGGAGATTAAGAGTTGAAAAGATGCGAATCTTGAACCCATCCGCCCGGAGGTTTTGATTATCCGCGCATCAACATTGATTCTAAAACGTGAATAACAAGATGATGGCCCCTCCGCTGATCTACAGTGGATCGCGGAGACAGATAGAGTTGGTGGCGTGCTGCTGGGTGTCCTCAAATCCACCCGCGGCTCGGGACACCCAAGGCACAACGGAGATGAAACTTAGAGTGACCAGTTTATCTTTTCCGGGATTAGCCATCAACCTTTTTGGTAACAGTCTAGCAATGTTATTTTTGTATTTGGCAAGCAATACAGGCAGGTTGCCCGGGGTTTTGATAGTGAAGTTTTCTAAATGACTTCACTTGACACTTAATCCATGGAGTTTGTTAAGTGGGCTCAAAAACCATCTCTATCATTTGCGTCGAGTCCTCGCGGGTTTGACTCATCGCTCCAGTGGTGTGCGCTCTAGTTCACTTCACCCACCTCGTATTTTACTTATAGTTTATCTCTTCATCCGATTCCATTTTTTTCACTTGTTGGATATATACTATTGCCACTGTGTCCACTGTGTAGTATAACCATCATGGCTGGACCCTTGTGATTGCAATACAAATCAGTTTGGCCCCGAGAATGGACATATGAGGGACCTCGGCAACATCACCACTAAAAATGACGGGATTCATTGGCTTACTTCAAGCCTGAATTTCTGGCAAACGCCCGATGTGTGTCACCTATCAATATCCCAAAAGATAAGATAAAACTTACTCCCTGGGACAAAGCAAGGCAAATAAGGTCTTGAAAGGACGTAAATAAGATTGTAATACCGGCACATGAATAGAACATGGGCAAGAATTTAAAAATATTGGAAAAGAATAACTGAGGATGTGAAATGATAAAATGTGCCTGTTAATATGCCAGAGATACTGAAAAATGGTCTAGAATTATAACTCCTGGGCTCAGTATCAATCGGTGTGGCCAGCAGGATTGAAATATAAATACCTCAAGCAAGAGGATTCTAGTTGAGCAATTCCGCTCTGGCTGCCTCGAGTGTGGAGTCTCTAGGACCCATGGTGTCAAAGCTAATGAAATTACGATGAGTTGGAAAAACATTCATTACTTTAGTGCTTTGCTCTTTCCAGGATTTCATCAACGACGATGCACTTACAAAAATACCCCTGCTAGACCCTTAGAGTTGGCGTATTTCACTTTGGCCACGGTGCTTGCGGTGTCGTCATAGCTGATCAAAGTGGTGTTGCTAGCAAGGAATGGCTAGGATCAAAAGATGGAATTAGAATAATGTGCGAATATGATTTGACTCGAGCTTCATCGCCGGCTAATAAAAAAAAATAGTAAATCGAACCTCTCCGGAGCAGTCGTCGTAATATCTGGTGTAACCATTTCCTCCGCTGGATTCATCTTCGCTCAAGAAACCAGATTCGACTAATTCCTGGGTAAACCATGAGCCACCATAATCTGTCTTTTGACCACAGATGTCTGTTCCAGGTTTATCGTCGTATTTGCCTCCAGCCTATAGTGCGAGTGGCAAAAAAGAAAGGGTAGTTAGAGAGATCAGATGTTCAAGCTTCCGGAAAGCCTTCTGCAAAATTTTCAATTGCTCACAGGTATACCAGTGAAGTTCTGGTAATACCAACTCTTGTAGTTGCCAACGGTTCTGGGGGTGAGTTCTGGCTTGGTCAAGGTCCACGATTTGGCGTAAGCAGGGATTCCTAAGGTTAGTTGCTCCGGTTTGAAACCTTGCTCGAGGTAGATTTCGATCGCATCCTCAACGGATAACTGGTTTTCTGGATCAGCACATTGCGATCTGAGTGGGGCGTTGGGTCCGGTAGTCTTGGTAAAACTGCCATGGACTGTGCGCGAATCAAGACGAATGAGGGAAGACCGAGTGCAGTGAAAAGAAATCGGAACCCTGGAAACTTACCATCGTACGCCATAATGCGCCTATAAGATTGCCAGATTGAACATTGGTCGAGGAGATGACAAGATAAGAACATCAGAAATCCACACTTGTTTCTCTCACCGGTGGACAAAAGAAGGTCCAGTTAGCTTACAATTCGTCAAGAGCTTCAACCATCATGGTGACATTGGATGCCGGTAATTTTTGGTAATCGGCGTCCCTAATGCCCGCTATGCTTTGGGGAGAAGAAAGCTTTCCTTCGGGCCATTTGCCTTTAACTTCCTGTGGGTAACGAGCGCAAGCCAAAAGTCAAGGGAATTGTTAGCACTGCGATCATGCCCAGCTGGTGTTGATGGCATTCACCTTATAAAGCAATTGTTGATTTTGAACATCCTCGTTACTGATGACGTTACAACCGATTCCCTGACTAGTAACAGGCAGTAATTCAAAAATTTGAGGTGAAACTAGTCCACTTGGATTTTTCATTTTTTGGTTCGAAAACATCAGACAAACAACACCTACATGCTGGCGTCTGTTAACCAAAAATCAATGAGCAAAACGCGTATCTTGAGTGATCTACTATGGCAGTGAGCAGTAAACACAGGAAAAGGTACAAACACCTTCACACTTACATTCCCAGTCAAAATCGATTCCTTCGAACCCGTATTTCTTGGCGAAACGAATGGTTGAATCGGCAAATGCGGTCCGATTCTCAGCAGTCGCCGCAAGGCTTGAAAAGAATCTGGGTGGCTCCGCTTTGTCAATTTCGCGAAATTCAAATGGAAACGGACCAGATTTGCTTACCTGGAGCCGCCCCAGCCTCCAAGAGAATAAGTGGGCAAGACCGAGTCTACAGCCATCATCGGTATGTTATTGATGAGTAACACGCGACGTATTGCAGGAGCTATCACAGGGAAGGCAGAAATTGATGCTCACGCTCTTTGCACTTCTTGACAAAATCAAAGGCTAAAGTGTCCCATTCATTTTGGGTCAAGGAATCGGTGCCAATTGTGAAATTCTCGGTAGTGGTTGCCGCGAAAAATATGATCTCGTCGTAGAGATCTAAATTCGTCAAGAAGAATGAGAAAGTGATCATGGTTAGCCAAGAACTTGTCAAAAGCCTCTCCTGTATGATCACAAAGGATTGAGGAGAATACTGACCATATCTGAGCTTAGAAAGGGGCTGCCCATCCGCATTGTAAACCGGGTAATACCCGGCAAGCTTTCTCTTTGGGATTGCGTTGCCATTGTAATCGGAGGTTTCACTATGCACCTCTGGGCTCGAAGTGTCGGTGGTAGAGAGGTCAGTAGGGTCATCAGGGTCCGGAACAGAGGGTGACCAAAAATCAGACTGGGCGTCATCGTATGGTGTTCCCTGGCTCATTACGAGAGCTGGAAGACATGTAAGGAATAACATCAAGAGTTGTGAGACCATTGTTAGACCTGTGATGTGATGATTATGCTAAAGCTTCAAGTTGTAGGACGGACTTGTGTGAATGATCACATGGCTGGTTCAAGCTTGCCCATTATATAGTCAATTATCTAAGCAACTTTTGTCGCTCTCTACTTAGGTTCCCTTCCGACCAAGCATTTCACGGGATCAAGAGCAGGGATGTAAGATTGGGAAGCATTTTCATATAGGGTGACGACGTTCTAGCACTTGTGCAGATCCTAGACCCAATCCATTAGTTTGACTTCCCGAGGTCGCTGGGTCCGTCTGCATCGGAAAGGGCGGAACCCTTCACAATCTGCTCCAACGAGGCCCCAAGACAGACAAAAAACATCGCCGCGGACATAAGGCGAAGAGTTATGAGCCACATTCAGCTAAGAGACTTGGGGTCCAGATGCCAGGAGTCAGTGCGCTACCGACGCAACTGGTGGCCACCGGTCGGTGTCCATTTTACGCAAAATTAGGAAAATGATCCCAACTGGGTAAGTCTTGCCCAAGTCATTGTCCATTACTAGTTGGTATATCCTCACGACAAGAGGCAGGCCACAAAAGAGAACATGAGCCCCCCCCCCCCCCTCTCTCCTCCCGCATAAAGAAAAAAGGTGCCAGACAGTGTTTTGTTTTTCTTAATGTTTGATTCAAGTCACATCCGCTTCAGATTGATTGAGGATAAGAACCAACAACTAGATTAGAATGAAGATAGAACCACAGAACCAAAAAGTTAAGATATATATATAAATGTTTTTGTGTTTGATTGATTATATGTGAACTACATAAAATAGAGTTGTAAACAAGGGAGGCATCGGGAAGTTTATTTCAAGACAGCGCGCAAAGGATGGACGCCAGAACATTTGAGAATCCGGAGATGGACGACCCTCAATTCGCGCAAGTAATCCTTCATCTTGTTTTCCTTCTTTTTGTGGATGGCAGGAGTAGAGAGCTCTTGTTGGTTGAGGGGCATGAACTCGACATAGTTCTTGTAGCTCTCGTTGGCAACCAGGGTGGCCAAGTCCAACGCTCGTCTTAGATTTCTGAACAAGTAAATAATTAATAATAATGATAAAATCAGTATTTGATTGTACTCAAAATCCTCGCAATCAAATCAGTAGTCTCAAGACTAACGTGACAATGTAATCTCCAGATTCAGCCAATGCGCCATGTAAGCGGAAAACCAATTCAGGAATGTAGATGTTCCTGATCAGATTCAATTCTGCGATCCTTCGGTCTGCCGCCTGCTCTTGCTCATCTACGATTTTTAGGTTCACCAAAACCAAACCAAAGAAGAAAAGCGAAGGAGCATTAGATATCAGACCGGAGACTGAACAGGACAGATATTCTACTTACCTATGTTTTCTGTGGGGTTGAATCGGATATCTTGGAGCCACTCCGAACTCAAGATCGCAGTAACAGCGGTGTACAGGTGATCGCACATTTCCTAACAGGTCACAAAAGATCGCGTCAATTTGCTGAGTCATCTCGTCGCTACAGAACGTCTCTTGATGTACTGACCTCCAATGCTTCTGTGAAGGCTTGCAATTCTGAAGTAGTCGATCTGGAAAGGTACCAATGGCCATACATTGTTAGAATCAAATTGGAAAAATGCGCCATGTATTTATTTGTTGAGGAGGACTTACCCATCCATCGGTCGTTGGCTCAAAATCTCATCAACTTGCACGTGCAACTCCAGACAATTGAAGAAGTCGCGATACTGAGTGAACTCGAGAATCGCATTATGTGTGTTTCCTGTGATATCTCCAGCCTCTGGCTCGGCTAGAGGATCCTTTCCTTGAGCAATCACGCTGAGTACATCTGCTGGCACAGAGCAGACAACCTCACGCGCAGCATTTGGATGGCCGGCCGCTATGAACAAACAAAGGTTATTTGTAAAGACATGTCAGCTTAGGTATCCATTTGCTTCTAGTTCATCTCACGACTGACTTAAGAAGTATCTGATCAAGGAGTTGGCTTGAATCAACGCCTCTAGATATGTTGCTGGGTCGATGATTAGCCACTCCAAGGAGCGAATGAGCTCCCTTTGTTTATCTGTCAGCTGATGGCTGAACTTGTTGAGGCCATGCTCTCGATTGGATTCCAGTGATGCCTATGTTACATATAAGGAAGGACGTCAATCATGTGACTCGTCAAATTATCATATATTAGGGGTGGGAACCACTTACGCGGGTAATTTCTTGTAAAGTCAGCTTCACGGCTGTACATGCGACCCGCGATATATCTAAACCATGTTCCAAGGCCCTGAGCAACGCGACGCGGCGCGTGGGGAAATCGGCGGAAGGACCCAAAGCTATTGAAAGAAGATGTCAGACTTGTACAACTCGTTTGCCAAGAGGGCATCAAATCATCGATAAAATAAACCCACAAATCAGATACTTTGCATATGTCTCAACGCCGGATTCTGGTTGCAGTTCCGCGACATAGAATGCGATGAGGTTGTGTTTATTTTCCATTTCTAAGACTTGAACATAGCCCCGCAGAATCGCGTTCGATGCCTCACTGTCGACCTTTTCATCAATCGCGCGTAAAAACAAAATCAAGTGAGAGAAAAAACGCAGGAGATGCGAGAGATGCCTAGCGATTGGGAGAGCGCGACATTATTGATGATCAGTTGAGTCCAGTGTCGGGGTCATCTTTCGCATGTGAAATAGTGATAAATTGGACCTACTCTCGAGTAAAGTCTTCCGATGCAGATTTCAAACGATCCGAAAAGCTGGTGAACAGGTCATTGATTTTGTCGATCGCCAACCACATCTGGGCAACATGGAATGGGTTCCTGGCGCTCTCAGCCAAGGAAGTTTGTTCACTTCGGAGGATTTTATCGAATGCTTTATTCATCGCAAGTTTGATGTCCGTTTGAGGTTCACCATTAGATCGCTGAGGGAAGTTCTGTCGAGCGACATGTTGAGGTTGAAGAGATGAGATGATAGTATCATCATCTGACGCGTCGATTTGATGGTTTTCGGCGGGTGGTAAAGCTCCATGTGACCAATAGTATCCCAGCTGGTTAGATTCCAAAATTTGATCGACTTGGTTTTCGAAAATCGCGTTGATATGACACCAAATGTGGTCTTCCCAGGTGTAACAGACGGGTAGGACTGAGCTGGTTTCGCCAGCCAAAGCACCATAGAGGGCCTGCTCATATGTCGGAAGAGATTTGTTCGAAGACATATGCAAACACATTGACTTCCAAAGCTTTCGGTTCAAGCATCCTGAACGCTTGTAAGGAGGCAGATTACGGGTTTCATTGAGTGGATTATCTAGTGACTCGGCGTCGGGCAATACTTCATCCTGGGGCAAAGGTGATTCATCTTCAAACTCTTCCAGGGACGGATCTTGAAATAATTGTCCACCAGCCAGACTGGCAGCTCTCCAAGGATGATCGCATTGCCTGCAGAAATCGAGGGCCAAGCCCATCTCGCCGGCTCGGATGTATTCATAGAGTGTCTTCACCATTGCTCGGTCGTATTCTTGATCCAATTGTTCCAGATCGCCTTTCTCCTGAATTGCATTTGGATCTGACACGAAATTGAGGTTATCATCAGACTGGAGCGTCTGTGACCTTTGATTGGTTTGCTGTCGACTTGCACGGAGAGGGGCATCAGGGTCCATCGCATGAAAAGGAGGGGCTTTCCCAGAGGGTCGTCGAGAATCCGAGTGGGGATATTTTTGGAGGGTATGTTTGAGGGACGCCTTGGTGTATGGCCAATATCCTCTGCGGATTTCGGCTGGATGAGTGCTACTTGGACAGGTGTATAGCCAGTCTCGGAATGTGGATAGTTCTAGTAGGTCCTTGGACTTTGACAGATGAAGATTGACTACCTTGAGAGGTGGAAGGTAGGGGTTGGATGTGAGCTTGGAGCTTGAGGACTGAGGGGGAGCAGTTCTTTCGGTGTAGAGCATTTGGACGAGTTGCCAAGTATTTCGTTCCAGGTTCCAGGATTCTTTCTGCTCAGGCGACAGATGACTGTTACGATTATCGAGTCTTTGAGAAGCCCCATAAAATAAATCAACGCCATTTTCTCCAGAAACAGTTTTGAATTTTAGGCAATAAACGTTACATACTTCGAGTCGCAGATTCTCTTCCAAACGGCGGCAGGTCCATGTTCGGGGTCAAGAGGGTCAATTTCATCCACCCTGAGGGTTTTCAACGCGTCTGCAAAGAGTGAGAATTCGTCGTGGTGGTCTTCTGACGCAAAGTTCAGCGGCTGAGTTTGGTGGATGAGAGACATGATGGCTTGAGTTGGGCTTGTTCTGCCTCTTGACTGTCCCAGTGGGTTTCCGTTCAACACAAAAATCGATCAATCACCTGTCACAGTCTCACCCTCCCACATCCTCACCAATGTCCCCGATTAGACCTGTGACAGGCCCACGAACCACACCACCACTCCAGGCACAAACTCAAAGCTCAAAACGGCCATTATAAACATGATTTAATTGTCAATGTTTTCATGGGTTCATCAAATTTCCAAAATTAATTACATAGTTTCTTCTTGAAATTGAAGAGTAGGTTCCCATATTTATCCATGCATGTGCTTTGTGGGATGGAATAGGCACATTTGCTCCTAAGACTGACCCAGATACATGACTCCAACTGATCACTATCAAATATAACTCATCTTATCTGAGTTTTTTTTTTTGAAGTACTCAGGTTTTTTTATATTTCAGGTCTTGGTATGCATGGCATTTTTGATCAGGTAGGATTGGGAACATTTTGATCACAAATAAACCACTTGCTCAAATACATTAGAAGTTTATTTTTCTCATCTTTCAATTAAAAGAATTAAAAGAAAAAGAGAATCACCAGCTGTTCCAACTGAGGGTATCTTTTTCTTTCTCTCTATGCATCTTTTTGAAAAAAAAAAAGATGAAATCTGATGTTGTAAATATAAACACAGAAACCCAGAGTGCATAAATCATATAATCATAAAACATTTTGGCTGGGAAAGCCAAAGCTTACATAATCAGATTACCAAGATCCCCTGCAAACAAGGTTTTATGATCTTATGATTTATGCGGTTATGATTTCATGCATTTCAACTGTGAATACCATAATTGTATGTACAAACATTTCTTCTGCTAAAAGAAAACCTGTTCCCTCTCACAGAAAATACAGAACTACCCCTTGTCCGGGCCCTTGATCAAAGTGACCATGGCCACATGAGCAGAAGTAACACTGACCAACTAGGAAAGAGTTTTCCTTGATGATTTTTTGAGGTTTTTTTTTTTTTTTTTTTTTTTTTTGGATTGGCACTATAATGTAATCAATCGTTCTTCGTCCATCTCCTCAAAGGATAAACTATAAGAAAAAAGAAAAAAACATAAAACACTTTCTCTTTTTGTGATTTTCTTGCAGTTGAGCTCCATCATGTGGTCTACAAATGTAGAAAGAACTGATCATTTGAGGATTCCATTCAACACGATCATCGGGAGTTTTTACTTTACACACACACACACTTGTTTCCTTTGAAAGTGGATTCTTGTATGTTCATGAGACAACTTTTTTTTTTCTTTTCTTGAAAGATCATCGGGGCAGAAAGGGTTGATGTGTGTATTGAGTAGAGATTTTCTTAGGATGGTTGATGATTGGTCGAGTCAATCGTCTATCACATCATGTTTTTTTCTCGCTTGTTTGCATATTCGTAGAGCGTGACTCTAGGATGAAGGTTTAAAAATCGTGGCAGATTATACGAGTCCAGTGATTGTCTTGTATGGGGTGAGATGGAGATCAGGAGGTTAGCCGGCCGGTCAAGCGAGGAAAGCTTGGAGGGTTGATTTCAAGACTGAGGATTGGCAAAGAGAAGAAGCCCGATCAAATCCCCATTTCTCGCATTCTCTCCAAGAAGAAGACGGCGAGTAGATATAAGAAGGAATGGTACGGACGATTGATCTGCAAGGGCTTGGGCAAGAAGCCGTCCATCCCGCTCCGCCTGCAGTCCGCCTTATTCGCCTCGCTCACGTTGGTGGTCAGGGCGATGATTGGCACCGGTCGGCTGCGCCCGGGACTCGGCAGGTGTGACTCGTATTCGCGGATCTTTCGGGTCGCTGACAGTCCATCCAAGCCCGGCATTTGGCCTATGTACGAGAAAACCGCACACGCCGTCGAATGGTAATCCAAAAAAAAGGGGGGGGGGATCCCAATAAATCAGATGCGTCAACAAATCAGTTCCAACGAAGCCATCGAGGAAGAGCTTACAATCCATCAGTATCAGATCGAACGGCGATCCGCAACAGGCCTTGGTGACCGCCTCATAGCCATTGGTGGCAGAGTCGACTTGGAATCCGAGCAGAGCGAGAAGCCGTGCGCCCAGCTGGACATTGACCGGGTTGTCATCCACCAATAAGATCTTCATCCTGCACTGTAAGTCTTTCGCGTTCATTGGCACACCTCTGTGGTTTGGGCTTCTTCCCTTCACTATGAAGATGATCTGCCAAACTCTGGGAATTTCAATCTACTTATTTGAGGAGATCAAACGGTTGAAAAAAAATACCAAACTTACATTCACGAGGAATGATCTTAAGATGGATGGATACAATGTTTAATGAAGAAAAAGCAACAGACGAATTCTGGAAAGCTCGAGGAATGTGTGTCATGAGAAATGCTCCGAAAGAGTCTATTCCGCATCCCAACAGGCCCATATATTATAGGAGAAGCATGGCGGCCTCCGAGGTGTTCAAGAAGGGAGGGGAGGGTAGAGGGCGCTAAGGGGGGAGAGCTAAGGAGGCTTGGCGCAAAAGAAGAACAAAAGATGCCCTGTGTTTGACATCGAATCTGCATTGGTCACCGGCAAAGGGACCGACAGCCGGACGTGAAGGGACGAGATGAAAACGAGCGCTTGTGTTTTCTTCAACCTTTGGATCGATGCCCTCGAGAAACCATGTTTTGCTGTCCCTCACCTGATTGTGATAATTGGATGAGGATTTGATCGAGGGCCTCCACTCCTAGGCCAACCACTTCCGAGGCGGGCGATTTCCATTGGGCTGTAACCTTCCCCCTTTTCATTCGTCCTGTGGATCGCACGTGACTTTGAAAAAAAAAAGAAATGGTGCTTACTGCCGCAAGGGTTCGTCACTCCGTTTTTCCAGCATTCCGGCAGGTTTCCGACCCGCAGAATAGAAGGGAAGGGTGACGCGAGCATCCCAGGTGGTCTTGTCTCGGGACAGTGCTTGTGACCTTTCGCTGTCTGCACATTCAAGCCATCGCCGTACATGTTCCTTACGACACTCGGACAATTGGCTCACGAGATTTTCAACTATCTTCATCTTTGGAGACGCTATGATTATCTTTTCTCATTGGGATTAATATCAATTACGGGAGAGATAATCGTAAAAAGAAAACGAGTTGGACTTATTCTAATAAGACACTTTTATTGAATCAAAGGAGACGCTAAAAAGATGTGTATCAAGTAAAACCAGTCATACGAGGATAAATAATATACTGTGAAAACAAACACCGAAATCAAAAAACAAAACGAAGAAAACACACAGACAGATGAACAAATTATAAATCATGATAAAACTGAAACGAGTTTTTTTTTTGGAGACTGATTGCAATATGTGTATTAGTAGAGTCTTCAAACCAAAGCAAAACAAAGTATGATCGACCATAAATCAGATAACCAGCTATTATTAACTTGACAAAACCAACAACACAAGACAAACAAGAATAAGTAAATGTCCATGAGTTTTTTCTGTTACTTTATTTGAATAATTGGGTCTGATGGGAAAGTGAAAAAAAAACGTGTGCAAAGCTAAGCTTCAAACAATTTTTATGTTTTCTTGGTTTGGTTTGGTTTGATTAGAATACATACAGCAGAAGGAAGAAGGAGGGGGAGGGACGAGGAGGGAATGAACCCTGGTACACAAATAAACAAACAACGAGTTTGAAAAGCAACGGGGGGCGAGGTGACATGAGTGGGCGGTCAAAGCGGGAGCGAGGCCGACGAGGAAGAGACGGGTGATAGAGGATTGGGACGAAGGAAGAATCCTGTTTGGTTTCAGGAGTATTTTTTCGAGGATGGATACACGTTTTGCAAGAAAGATCATCGGGAGAAGGGTGGGTCAATTATATCTGAGCATCTGTTTTCTTCGTCATTTTGTTTGGAGATAGAGATTCATGAATTTGGGCGCAGGCTTTCGGGGGGGGGGGTGATGATTGATGCGATGACGTCGATTGCAGAGGTGTGAGATCGGACAATCATCCGAGGAAGGTGTGCAGAGTAGATTTCAAAACTACGAAGATATAAGAACGGGTATTTTCAGCCTCAGTGAGTCAAGCACTAGGAAAAAGATGAACTGACCATTGATCTGTAATGGTTTAGGCAAGAAGCCATCCATTCCACTCAGTCTACAGTCTGCCTGATCAGACTCGCTCACGTTGGCAGTGAGAGCAATGATTGGAACCGGCCGGCTGCGCTTTCCCCGGAAATGAGCCTCGTATTCTCGAATCTTCCGGGTTGCCGACAACCCATCCAACTCAGGCATTTGACCTACGGCAGGCGTTGTGACAGGAAGGAATCAGCATCTATTGCTAGCTGACTTCGGATGCGCATCGCGAGAGGTACTTACAATCCATCAATATCAGATCATACGCTGATCCGCAGGCTTTTGTGACGGCCTCGTATCCATTAGCGGCAGAATCGACTTGGTATCCGAGCAGGCCGAGGAGACGTGCACCCAACTGGACGTTGATCGGGTTGTCGTCGACCAACAAGATCTTGCGAGGACCATCTTTCTTCGTCTCTGGATCTTTCGCACAGAGGGGCCGAGATTCATTGCCTTCAAGCTCGGATGGGCGTGATATCGGGATGGGCTCAAATTGGTCGGCGTGCGAGCCGGATGGGCTGCTGGCAGGGGATTCGGTGAGTTGGCTGGGCGGGAGTTCAAATTCAAAGACGGACGAACTGATCGAGGAGATCGAGTCAGAGTTCATTGTCCGATAAGAATCATCGCGATCCTTTTCCCTTCTTGCCGGTGACCTTTGCTCTTGGACCACGTTCAGATCGATCTCGTGAGCATATTTCTCAGTGTCCAGTAGCAGGTTGAAGATCAGATGAGGGATGATGCCTTGCCGTCGAATCCTGATCACGTTGGGGGCATTCAGAAGACAATGCTGGGTGAACTTCTCTCCCAAGTCAGTCGAAGATGTCAGGACAAATGTTGGCCAACGACGATCTTGGTGGGAGTCTTCCGGCGATGCTACCGGAATATCACTCATTGAAAATTGGCGGCGATCAACAAAAGATTGCAGGAGTTCTGACGATTGTAAACTCTTTGCGTCCGTTAAAACCAAGTCGATTTCCCCACGGCTAAACCAGCTTTCGGCAACCTCAAGCTCACTGTGAATCCCAACTGTGCGATGACCTGCCTTGCGAAGAGCTTCACTGAGTCGGTCTTCGGTGACTTTCTCGTTGTATGCTAGGCATATCGTGTGCCGTTGGACTTGATCGGTATACGGAGAAGCCGTGGTGCCCGTAAGAGGTAGCCGTACAGTGAATGTAGTGCCCTTTCCAACTTCGGAATCAACTTCAATAGTCCCACTTAGCCGCTGAAGAAATTAAGCAAACAATCAGTCGGCGTGTTTTCTTGCTGAACCAAGATAGTCCTTTTTCACTCACTTCAACAAGTTGTTTGCAAATGCTCAAGCCTGCGTTCACATGAGTGAAAAATGCAAAGTCAGTTGAACGTTGAAAACCTAAGATACGCGGATATTCTCCCACTCACCCAAGCCAGTACCTTGGTGGGGTCGCGTTGTACTGCTGTCCGCTTGTCGATAGGGCTCGAACAATGAACTCATGAAGTTGGGGGGGACACCTGACAAATTGAAATAGGCAAGAATATCGAAACCTGTTAACATCTGCTGAATGGAATGAAGCCAAAATAAAACAGACTGACCGATTCCAGTATCTTTGACCCTGAGCGTCAACATATCATCGTCATTGGTCTCGACATCGATCATGATCAAGCCGCGTTCGGTAAACTTGAGGGCGTTGCTCAAAAGGTTCATACAGATCCGCATGAAGAACGTCTCGTCGAGCATAGCGGTCTCAGGGACGTCGTCAGCAATATTGACAATCAAGTCCACTGCGCGCTTCTTGCCAGCCAGGTCGCTCCTGTCTTCGGTCATTTGGGCTATGCCTTCGAGCATCGAACGTATGTTAACTCGGACCGGCTTGGCGCATGATTCGTCGTTGTTCCTTTCCAGTTTCCTGTCGGAGTCATATCAAGAAGTTGATTGAGCTAGAGCTCATTCGCTACTACCGCAGAGAAGTGGACTTACGAGAAGTCCAAGACATTCGCAATGATCAACTGCATGTTCGAGCAGGCTTGCTGCATGTTCGACAGATACCATTTCTGCAAGATTTTAGACAAGAGTCAGTTGATTTCTTCCAAAGATGAACGCGCCGGATCGACGAGGGAAGTGGGACTCGAAAAATGACTTGCCTGTTCCTTGTTCAAGTCCGTACGCGCCAACAGTTCGGCATACCCAGTCACGGAGAAGAGAGGCGTTCTTAGCTCGTGGGAACTGTAAACGGCGATAAGCGGGCAAACGAGTCAGATTGAAAAAAACGAAAGCGGGCAGCGAGAAAAAAAGATTAAGTATAACGTACGCGACAGATATGAAGTTCTGTTTGAGCTCAGCTAAGCGGGCGACGGTCTCGTTTTCAATGCTCAGTTGGCCCAATTGACGCTTGGTATTCACGAGTTCAGACATTCTGTTTCGCGATAAAGAGGCCGTATACACCAGCAGACCGATGGACACTAGGCACGTAGCGACAGCCAGAACACTGATGATGATCGCGATATCCATGGGCTGGACGCCCGCCCTGTGGCGCTGCTCGTAGAGAGCTTGTGACGAGGAGATGATTTGCATGCCGAAGATCCCGGAGTAGTGGAAAGCAAAAACACTCAGGCTGAGCAAGGTGGCACAGAAGAGTTGTCCACTGAGGTCGAGTTCCAAGTCCATGACTATGCAGCCAAGGGTGCTACCCACTAAGCCCAGAGCGGCCGAAAAAGCTATGTGGATCGGCGAGAGGATGATCCGGCCATTGGGTATGTCGATGGCTTTGATTCCAAGATAGTGCATCAGTGCAATGGCAGTGGCCCAGACAGTAGCTCGAACGAGTGTGGGAAAACGTAAGCCTGACCACACAGCAGCAAGCAGGCCAATCTTCTTACTCGACTGTTCGGAATTTGGGGAGCTGGGGGTGTGGGGGATGCCGTGAGAATTGTAGGGATGTGGGTGATTTGCCGACAGGTTGGGTTGCGCGGGACTAAGCGGGCCAAGTTCGAGTGAGAGCAAGGGCTCTTCAGATGATGAACGATCGCTATCGTGGTTGATACTTACACCCAGTCCGATTGGCTTTGTGGATTTATGTTTTGCAGCAGATCCCGAGCTTCGTGACGTAGTAAACATCTTGGGCCAGCGAAGGCCAGTACGACGGAGAAAGGCAGACATGTATCCAGACAGCAATCCTGGACGGTCCGTGGTGGCCAATGCAATGAAGGTGAAAATTGTGGCAACCGATGCGCTTAGAATTGTTAACGTCGGGTGTAGAAGCATGGCACCCGGGGGCTCAACAGACTGAGCGAGCATTGCCAAGAAGTGTAAAGCCCAAATTGAAACCGAGCCGTAAATAATGGAAGCAAGAGCAGTCCAAAGATACCAATGGTAGTGGGGGGCGACCGAGGAAGACATAGCACTCAGAGCGCGTGGGGAGTGATGGAGGTGACGATGACGTCGATGGCTGTGGATAGGGGAGCTGGCAACAATACTATTGGTGTGCGAGATTATTGCACAAGTAGTGAATGAGCCTATCCAGCTGATGGAGAATGAGAGGAGGACAAGCTGGGAGGAATCGAAGCCGGCACGGATTTTAAAGCCAAATCGGATGGGGTAATTCGAAGACGAGGCCAAAGCAAAGAAACAGAAAGTCAGTCATCATCAGCATCCAAGTGGCGAGTTAGAAGACGGCGAGAACATAGACTAAAGTCAAATTAAAGAAAAAAAAGAATGGGGAGTTTCGAGCATACAGGGGCAATAAGGGGGTGGGGCAAGGGGAGAAGGAGAGAAAGTTGGAGGACTAGCTCGTCAGAGATGACGGCGAGTGTAAGGTACCGCTCGTACTTGAGGCATCATTGGCTGAAGATCAAGCCCCAACCGATTGAAGAACCAGGCAGGTCTGGAGGGACTAGCGGAAGGTGAAATTTGGAGGATTTGACGAGATACACCATGATATTTATGAAGATGTAATGATGTAGATGTTCTTATGGTAAGGACTTCTCATTACGTCCCAAGTTGAACTCGAGACTCGCTACATAAGGCGATAGGAAGCTAAAAACTATCTTTTTATGGAACGAAAGATGATCCAGCCATTGTCGGTAGGGGGGAAGAGAAAAGGCTGTGAGGCTGTTATAGGTTTACATGATGAACCATTACGAGGAGCTAGGCCTTCAAATCTCCACCTTTGCGGTGAGAGATACTATATGCTGTTATCGAAAGGAGGTGGACATGCATCTCCTGCCTCGCCAGCATCGCAAGGAGTCGTTCCCAAAACATCCCTGCGCGGATCGCGCTTTCGCTTTATTTACACAGCATTGCGATAACTCGTGAGTGGCGAATGAGCCTCCAAACAGAGAGTGACTGTGGGGTCGCCGAGGGGGAAAAGTCATCTCGGCTCGGTAAAAGCTCGTGGTGTCGGGTTGGAAGTGTGTACTCTGGACACGGGAGAGACGGGCCAGGGTATGTACCCACCAACGCATGGCAGCATCTCAGCGGTGCGGACAGCATCGTGTGGCCCAAGACGCAAGGTGAGTAGGAATTCCAGACATAGCCGCTTGCCCGTTTTTCCTCACCTTTAACCTCAGGAGTAAAATTCACCGCTGGTAGACGCAAGCCGAATCCCAATCCCAACCTGATAGATGGATATACTCGAGAAAGGGAAGTCGGCAGATGGATCGATTAATAAGTGGTTCAACTAGGGATTCGATGATGCTTGATTGAGAAAAGGGTTTCTGTAGACGGAAAAGAGGTGGTGGGAGATCTTCTTGACCAGATCAGGTGTAAAATCCGGATGGGAGTATCGTGGAAAACTAGGATGGAGTGATTAGAGCCGGCCCAAGAACTACTGTCATAATAGACCCAGGTCGAGCAAAAGACTATGCAAGACAAATCACATCCATGATCATCAACTCGTTCGACAAGTTGTATTCCAGCTTCTTTCCGGCCAGATGTGCTTCACCGTGCTTGGTGAGCAAGCTTTGGAAATGTAGCATCAGATCCAGAAGCGGAAGCCGGGATATGACCATTCAAGAAGCCTTATGGCCGGCCAGCTCACTGACGACGGAGGGAGCATGGTGACGTGTTGATTGTTATATCTGGTGCTCCTAAAAATGGACTTTGTTGAAACATGCACGATTGGCGACTTGAGGCTCTCTCTCAAAAGCTGTAGTCAATCCAGTTGTGCTTTGCTCGGCTAATCTGTACTCCACATAGAGGGATACAGCACCCAGAGATACACACTCCCAGACGCACGTAGTGCTGAAGGAAGTCGAGATAAATAGAAGAAGCAGAAGAAGAATGTAAAGCGAGCGATGCAAACCAAGGACTAACCAACAAGACGGGACGGCGAGGGAGGGTCGATGTGTTGGTTGATTGGTTTTTTGATTTTCAAGAATGGAAAGATTTGGCTGGTGAAGCGAGTACAAGAAAGACAAGTATTTATCATCCACTCAAGTCTGATCCATCAGGTGTTGTTGTGGGGTGTAAGTCTTGATCGCTCTCATCATCCAACCTGAGCGGATACGATCAAACATCCAAGGAAACATTAGTCCTGGGTATTAATAAAGTTGCGGGATTTGTACCGCCTACAATAATCTGATGGCGATGTGATGCGAACCCAGTAAGGATAGGTAGTAGTGCGCTTTTATTTTGGGCTTGGTTCCGACGACGATTGGACTGAGGGATTCGAGTAGGGGTTGTATTGGTAGTAGTAAGGATGATAATACACGATGAAATGGTGTGCAGTCGAATTCGTTGGGGGAGAGGGAAGGCCAGTCAGGAGAGGTGTGCAAACATATAAATATTTTTGACTCCAGAGTCGATGGTTTGAAGCTGAGAGGAGAGCAGAGTGGATCGCTGATCGTCAGATCCCACTCATCCGCTGCCCTGGCTGTCTGTGGATGGATTGCAGTTGTCTTGCGCCATACATCTACCCCACGAATTATTGAATCATTGGTTATTGACTTGGCTGGGCGACACAGTGCGCTGATTTAAATCTGGACCCAGTCTTTTCCGCTGCTGGTTGGCCGTCGATGGTGAAGTCTTTAAAAAAAAGAGTGGGGGGGATGGAAGGAAAGCAGAGACACATGCAGAAGTTTGTTGTAGCTCGAGTTTTTTTTTTTTTCATCTCTATATGATGTCATCCTTGAATCTTCCCTGACCAGATGTTGCATATATTTATGTGTAATAGCCCTGAATTGATGGTCGGAACGAGGCGGAGCGACTTGGGCTTCTCGATCCGAGCCGCTTCGATTGAGCCTTGGGCAGGACTCGGGAGCGGTGGATGGGCTCAATCCGCATTTGCATTATACGGTCATCGGGATGAGTATAAATCCTGAAATGGGATATGGAACCCAATTGGTGGATGGTCCGGGTACACATCACATGAGATGTGCTCGGATACGTGCAGACACATGAGAGCGCAGGTGATGTCATGCCGGTCAGAGTCATGGACAAGAGGAGCTCATGGGATGAGGGCCGTAATAATGAGCATGTGAAGGTGAGCACTCTCGTCCAGACAGCAACTAGACCAGAGCTACGGAGTGCGAGTTTCAGTATGTGGGCTGTGATTGATTCACTTGGCAGAAGAACGAGAAGGAAAGGAGCTGAGGTAAAAGGAAAGGTATTCTTTATATTCTAGCTGGGGGAGAGTTGTGGTGGCAGGGCTATGTTCTATTGTGGAAAACGGAGCTAAGATTGAGAATCCGGAGACATCGGGAGGGGAGCGGGAAGCAAAGAAACATCCGTATTTTTGGGAGGAGAACGCCAGATCGGTCTTCTTACCCTCCAAGACCAATCCATCTCCAGGATCATCTCATTCTCGCCCAGCGCAAGACGGTTGTGCATCAGGACGATCTCCATCCCTGCTTCAATCACCAGCAATATCCGGATCAGCTCAAATCACCCTGTCAGCTACCTATAACTGTAATCTGTCTGACCCCGCACTCACTTTAATTCACAATTCTTCGGTTTCTGACGAGTCTCCACACGAACCGAAGCTATGCAAACGCAATCGCAAATGGAGTGATCTTAGGGGATGGCAGCAAGGAAGACAATCTGAAATAACATGTAACACTTACCGGGCTGTTGGTCGGTCGAGACTATTGAGGAAAGATCTATGGAAAATTGGAATCCAAAAAAGAAAAAAAGAAAAATCCATTTTTAAGTTAAGGGTATATTTCATCGAAACAACGCCCTCAGCAAGGATGGGCTCAAGACTCAGAGGATCATTGCGGACTCCTATCTTTTCGTTCGTTATCGAAGAAGCATAAAAGCCACTTACCCGAGCTTTCAAAAGAAGTAAGAGAAATGATAAGCGGTCAATGGTCGAAAGAAATTTTATGATGATCACTGATGAGCTCGACAGTTCCAATTTCTAAATCTGATCAACGGTCAGACGAGGTGAGTGAGATGAATATGATGGATTAGTGTATTGTCAATCTCCAGATCTTGAAGCATCCATCTCTATCTTGCTAAAATCATACCCATCAAGAGTTGGGGCACGTACCGGTTCTTGGTTGCTCTTTTTTACAACATGGAAAAGGGCCGAAGGAGAATTGAGAACGGTTGCATAAAATTTGCAACTCGTTTATCTCGGCCAGTGCCAATAGCGATATAGGGAGAATACAATACTTACTTGATAGGTCTGGGCGGATGAGGAAGGTCTACTGCTTATTAACCTACTAGGGGAAAAAGGAGCACATGGACAGCAGGAAGCTCGGTATAAATAAGTATTCCTTGAGCTCCCCCATCTGCAGCATTTTTTTTTTGTTGCCTTGGCCGAAGTCGATCAAGGAAAGGGGGTGCAGGGTGTATAATTGCTTGACCATCCTTGATTTCTCGAAATGCATCAAGAGAAATTTGAAGATAGTTTTCCAAAAGTTAACTATAAACACATGATTATCTGATTATACGAGGATCAATCGCACATGCGTACTGATAAGTATAATGAAGAGAGCGAAAAAAAAGAACAATCACAGATTGAGTCTGTTGAGAATCATAAAACATCTAGCCAGCGCAACCAAATCTTAAAAAAATCGGGGATGGCTTGGACGGATAAAGTGAGATTCAGATCAGGGTTAGGCCTTTCTCCTTTTGAGCAGAGCCAGAGCAAGATGGATGGTGAACGAGGGATGTCCAAAGCTGGATGTTTTATTTGGTGGAGGGAGTTCTGGGGTGTGTCGAGTGGGATAGACTGATTAAAGTCGATCGGTCGAGACCAACTTCTCGAACGGATGGATGGGGGATCTTCAAGTGCTGGCCATCGATGGTTTGTATGACCTCGGAGTTCATTCTTCCTCATCTCAGTTTAGACACCCTCAGAGGAAAGTGTGCCGATACCCCACCAACATCAATCTGTCCCGACATGGCCATCCCTGCCGAGAAATCTGGTCTCACTTGGCTCACCTGCAACCTTATACACATTTTATTTATTCAAATTCCTGCTTTGGCCTTTCAGCTCCTGCAGCTCCTGCCGGTTCTCTGGAGCCATTTCATGGAAAGTCTGAGGTCAAACCGGTGCAACCGAAGGTGAAAGCTGGCAATCTTGCCGATCCGCGCCGAGGGATCACTCGCACTTTCCACGAGGAGCACCAGCTCCCAACCCTCCCTATGTAACCAATCCATCACCGTTTACTCACATCGTTGGTTGGTCTATCCGATAGGCCTTGGCGGTGCTTTGGATCCGAGTCTGAATGTCCCAACCGTTCCGGATACAGCCTACAGCTACATAAACTTGGACCCATTGGCATCACACTTTGGACGCAACGGACCAGAGATTTGCAGACAAGAACGCAGAACACGAAAATTGATGACCATTCCTCATGCTCAGGCATAAAAATTCAAGTACGTCATAGCACCATTGCAATAAAGCTGTATATGTATTGATGTCAAACTGGAAATCTTCACAATGTCAAGCCGCAACTTTAACCTACTGAAAGGGTAGATTGAAGCAGGGGATACACTATGCAGAGATCCAGTGGGAGGTTAAGGAAAGAGGAATATTCTCTCATTTCTTCTGGGTATGAATGCAGATATCTGTGACATGAGAGATAACTAGAGACAGATTTGAACACACAAGATAAAACATCCCAGATTCCAGCCCCAGATTGGCTAGATTTTGACTCAATTTTTGGGCTAATTTCCAATTTTTCAACTTGGAAGGAAATTGTCCCTGCCCAATAACATGAACACTTTGTTTACATTAATGGTCTAGAAATGGATAGCAATTTTTGTTTTTGTGTTTCAGGATCGAAATTTCTTGGTTTATGGGAAGCTTTTGCAGGAAAATCACAAGATGGATGAGCATGTGTTGTGGTAGCTAAATTGGCCTTGGGTTTGTCAAAAAAAAAAAAAAAGTTCAAAATTGAAAATGCAAATTGGACGGCCAGGTGCTATGGTACAGTCCTCAATGCAGTTTTGTGTCTTGGAAGGTTTGCAATCACACCTTGTTCTTTTTTTATATCATCCAAAAATCATCCCCATCTATTCATTAATGATGTGATTAACAGTGCAATTAATGACCATGACAAATTCAGGCTACAAACCTGATATTTTTCTGTATTTTTTGATTCATCTTTTACCCTGGAAAAGGAAAGTGGATTAGTGTGAGAACTCTTAATTTATCTCACAGATTCTATGACAACAGCAAACCTAGATTACATAATCACTTCTCATTGTATTTATTCTCCAACTCCCCGTTGTGGTAATTATTCCTGTGTTTCTACGCCAAAAATATAAAAAAATTATTATTATGTCTCTAAAAATTGAAGATAGGGTAAAAATGACATCAAAAATGGATTCCTGAGGTAAAATAACCCCTAGTCACTCACTGCAACTACCCTCTTATCTCTACTAGTTCAGAAGTTACACTTATCTTAACCTATCACAGGATATTTCTTGGATTCTTTACTCTGACTATAGCTCATTTTGAATACTGGATGCATATTTCATATTGAATTCCTTTGTTTCATATTGAATTCCTTTACTGGCTTATATTTCATATTGAATTCCTTTGTAGGTGCACATGCATTCCTTTGTAGTAGGACCTTGTAGGCTAGCCAAAATCCCTCAAGGCAGTGCTCTCACCAGCCAAATTCCCTCACCTGCATGTACTAGACTAGCTAAATTCCCTCATTGGATTTTCAGGCCAGCTAAATTCCCTCACCTGCATGTACCCTGGAGCTAAAATCCCTCACTTTTGTCTATATAAGGAGGCCTCTGCCTGCCAGTTGTACCTTTCATCATCCCACCAGTGGACCAGATCATCTCAACCACCCTTACAATCACCACCCATTATATTACAAGTCACAGTTATATAACCACCCTTATTTTATCGCAATATATTCATAATCCTTTCATATCATCATCATCATACCAAGTGCCCAGTCCCCTGTTCCATTCCTGGTTGAAGCATAGTGCTCCCAGCGCCCAGCGCCTTGGTTCCAAATCACCTCTTTTTAACTTTATATACCCTCAACCTCAAGGACCTGCGTTCAAGCCTCAACCTCGACGACAATCATTGACACCTCTATCAACAACTTCATCAACATCAACATCATCATCAACAATCACCATCAACACCATTAACCGTTATACGAATCACTTGACAGCTTCATCTCGAACTATCCTCTATCACGATATATAAACTGCCAAGCTGAGCTTGGTGGTCTTGTTGTTCTGATAGCATAGAAGGGCAGAGCTTGCAACTCCACCATCCCCTTCTCCATTCAGCAAAAGGGTTTCACAACCGCTTTTGAGTCTTACAAGGGAGTCCCCAACGTGATAGGATAAACCTTCGAGTGACATCGTGTGACATTACGAACAGAGATATCAGAGACATCGCAGAGATCGTACTAGCGTAACGACAATCATCAACATATTGCGACTACTCAGCGCATATCAGTTATCTGTGATCAACTAGTCAAACTTCAATAAACAATCCATCGACACAACAACGAACCTCTGAAAAGAAAGTGAACCCATCGACTGAAACGAGTATCTTGAAGAAGGCAGCCAGTTATTGACCAGCAGAAGGAAGACCACCGAAGGATCTGGATAACTAGGATACTGTTTGAAGAGAGCTCTGGAACTATTCGAAGAAAGCAGCTGCTTATTGACCAAAAGAAGGAAGACCACCGAAGGATTTGGATAAGTAGATTCTGTGAAAGAAGAAATTCCCAGTGTTAACTGATTTATTTATTTTAAAGAAAACCATAAGCTTGCCCTGGTAAAGAGACCAGAGACCATAGTATTATTTGTTTCTTTTTCAGAGCAAACGTTTGTTTAAGTATCAAAGGAGCTACTTTGCCACCACCGAAGGATAAAGGAAAGGGAAAAGCAAGTGAAATGCGGGATACAACGGAGGAAGACTCAGATGCAGGCGAACCTACACCTCAAGCACACAACTTACCTCCTCTGTCTGGATATGGACTTCACAACACCCAGAATGCAGAAGAGCCAGTGTATAATCGACAACAACAACAACAACCAGCGAATCAAGAACAAGAAGATCAACAACCAATCCCTCAAGTTGCACCAAGAATCATCAAAGAACCTGGACTTTTTTACGATGGCGAAAACTTTGGAAAGTTCTTGATGCGGTTTGAAAGAGCGGCTAGGGCGTTTAATGCAAGCAACTACGATAAAGCATTACAAATCGGCCGGTTCATGAAGACGGAGGACCTTAAAACTCAACTAGAAGCCATGAACGGGTATGAGAAATGTGAATGGAGAAAATTACGAAAGGAGATGGTCGAAACCTGGGGAGAATTGGACAATACAATCCTGTACACCTGCAACGACCTGGTTAAGGTTGCGAAAGAATTCGGAGTAAATGGAGGAATCAAGGATCATCGGGAATTCAAATC